TATGATGGTATATGTATGATATTGTATGATCATCCATGGTGAAACGATGGTAATCCATGGTATATTGATGTATATTGTGTCAAAAGAATCAACGATTTCCGTGTGTGCCATGGTGAAACGATGGTGTTTTTGAATGATCATCCATCCCATGATGGGAGTCCTTACAACAGAGAACATCTCTATAAAAAAGTCAACCCCGGATGAGACTAAACCATGGTTTATCAATTAGGGGCTACCCTCCAAATAGTCACTTGATATGGTACCATTTATATGTACCCTCCCAATTCAACAGACTACTGTAGGGGTTTTTTAATCCAGGCTTGACATTAATGGATTGATATGGATTGATGACCATCCCCAATATGAGCAATTCACCCATGTGTACCAACACTGAACCCGCTGGCAATGCCGCAAGCTGCTGGCACTTTTCTCCAAACGTTAGCTCCGAAGTCTTTCCACAACGGGCACTAGGACCCACGACAAGTTCGGAGCCCGCTTCGAGTATATGGCTAGTGCGAAAACAAAAAAAATGTGGCAGTGCCATGGCAGTGCCCAAAAAAAAACTGGTTGGTTGTGGCTCCAGACACCTCGATAATTATATGGGTATGGGTCAAAATTAGGTACCCCAATAATTGGATGGTTAATAGTAAACTAGACTAACATCTGTGGTCCCCTAGGTCTTCCATTTTGACCCACATCCATATTGGAGTGCATGGATAATTGGACCAGTTCTTGGAGCCACACAACACGATACACAGTGCCATGCAGTGCCCCTCGAAAATCGTTGATAGGTTTCCCTACTATGGCTTATCATGATCCCCAGTAAACCAGGTAGTATAATCCACTATAGCAATCAATTAACCAGGGTATTTTTAATGGCTCACCTCGAACTTGTCTGTTGGATAATTGAAAATCGTCTGTGTATTGCGTCTGTGCATCCGGCTGCCATCGTATGTGACAACTTTCACGGTCGCAGTGGCCAGCCGTGGCGTTCGCAAGCAGATTTTTCGTCCAGTTAGAACTGGGATAACCCACTACTGAGATGAAGCACCAAGCAAGTTTCATCGCTTGGGGTTTCGTTGACATTGTCCGGTTAACGTAAGTTACGCCTAAGATCTTGCAAGTATAAGCATTAATAATCCCAATTTGTGCTTCTTAAATCAGAAACTTGTCATTCTGATTGTGAAATCCCAACATTTGCTTGTGAAATCCCTGTTTTGTGATTACATCATGTGAAAAATTCTGGTGTGTTGTAAGTCCAACGGTGAATCTTCAAACATAGCGATCCATGTGAAGATTTGGCGTCACGGTTGCTGGCCACTCGCCCTTGCGTTGCGGCGCCTCTAGAAACCGGAAAACTGAGCACGGCGCACCACGGGTGCCTTGGGCACCCCGGTAGGGGATCGAGAATCGAGCTGCTAGGTGGTTTCAAGGTGTACCCAATCCAAGAATAGCCTTAGTAAATTAATGTTTAGCACTATCTTAACTACTTGGAGGATTTGATCATTTCTGATAGGTATCTATTAACCAGCTGGTTTAAAAAAACATGTACAAGCATCGGCAGGTAATCTCAGGTCTAAATATGTCTGATTTGGTTACTGAAATAAAAACACACATGCCCATGTGCATATAATATGCTGTATGTGTATGTATATATATATACATTGCCAACCATCTCTATAGGACACCCCAAGAAGATAGAAACGTAAATTGAGAAGGAGAACGTGAAGGGTAGGCGGCCAAAAGGCATGTCAGACCAAGCGATGTTAATGATTATGAGGAGGAGGATCATCATGATCATGATCATCATCTTGATAATGAGGAGGATGAGAATGATGAGAATGAGGATGACGATGGAATGGCACTCTTCAGGGTCAAGTTGTTGGCTTAGAAACAGCAGCAATGCGGCCATGGTTTTCTTTATGATCATGGGATTGAGAGATCTAATGTGGCTTAAAGGGATGGATGCAAATAGGGCACATGCAAAATTTACGGTTTTATTCATTTGTATAAGTTAGAAAGGGATATATTTAGCGTGTACGAGGGTAAGAGAGCTATGTACATCACTAAAACATTGACCAACGATCCGCTCGAAGGTGTTTGCTTTTGTCCCAAAGCCAAATGGTGTTCCCAAACACCCCTGGCAAAATGCACTGTCAACGAGGAAAAAGGATGGTGCTCCCAACATCTCCCAACCAAACAATGCAAACCAATAAAAACTCAGGAGCATCGATTGTTCAAAGGAAAATCGGAAAGACCACAAGCACCAAGCAGAAAACACATTGGCTGCGCAACAAAAAGTCCGAAACACATCTCAAGCGTGTAAGACACAAAAAAAATCCAAAGGTCTGTCAGTTGCAAGGGAGCTCCGGGGGAAGGAGCCGGGGGATTGAGTCCACAGCAGTGAAGTGCACAAACAAGAGGCAAATGTAGTGAATATGCCAAGGGGTCACCGGGTCCTGTATTCTGCAAAGTAAAACTCAAGGTAGCCCACCACGAGCTACATTTGGTGAGTTACCATAATTTACCATCATTGTAGAAGGATGGCAAATGGCGCGATCGTTGTCGAGGTTGCCATGATCTGATAGATCCTCAAGCTGCTTCAAAACATTCTTCCATTATTTCCAGAAAATGAACCATCATTGGTGGAGCAGCTTACAATACTTGGGTCAACACCCCTGCTGAACACCAAAATAGCTGGTAAATGGATGTTTACCCCCCAAACATGGAAATTTATGAGTTGGTCCAATCCTCATCTGTATATATATATATATATGTATGTATATATATATATATACATAAATATATGTATGTATGTATGCATGCATGCATGCATTGTATTGTGTTGTATTGTATTGTAGTGTAGTGTAGTGTAGTGTAATGTATGTATGCATGTATGTATATACATGTATAACAATCCCAAGTGTTGAAGTGTTTCGATGAATGCATTTCTTTCTTCCAGTTCTACACGAATGAGAGTCCAACATGTTGAAACCAGCTAGCAATCCAGGTTGGTGTTTGAAATCCACCGCACTGGCCGCGGTACCAAGGACTCTGAGGACATCGAAATGAAAAGTGACAGGAATTTTCCAGGCTTTTCCTATTCCCAGGGGTAAACATATGGGGGTTGTGCAAATTGTTTCTCCAATTCTGGGTGCTATGGATTTTTACTTATAGCTGCTAGTTCTGGTGAACAACAACTGATGGGAGACTGGGAAAAAGTCAACAACAGTAGATACGAGTCTGTGGAAGAGACCAACCACTGATGGTTAAAAAAGGACATCTAATGACATCAATCTACATGTTTACCCTCTGGTAAACTAACATAGCTATGGAAAATCAGCCTTTTAATAGCTAAATCATCTATAATGGTCCATTTTCCATAGCTATGGAACAAATTACCAGAGGGTATCCCCATATATTCCCATGATTTTCCCATGAAACCATATAGAACCTCCATTTCTAGTGCTGACTGTACTATATTTACCCTCTAATCAAACATGGCACGGGATGCACTGCGAAAATCATCGAAGTGAATGGGGAATTCTTCAGCAAGCCATCTTTGATCACCAGAGGCTATATGGTCAATGTTGGTTAATATACTGTTAATATATGGTTAATATATGGTTATTATATGGTTAATGATCTTGAATAATATGGTTTATGGACAATTACTGGTTGGTGGTATGTATACCTACCCCTCTGAAAAATGATGGAGTTCGTCAGTTGAGATGATTATTCCCAATATATGGAAAAATAAAAAAGGTTCCAAACCACCAACCAGATATATATATACATATATCTGAGTAAATTATAATATTTCACTAACCTGAATTGTTGGGCCATTTGAAAATTGATTTCCCTAAGATAAACCATGATTCCAGGGTTCGGGAGAACAGGGTTCGGTCGTTATAATTTACCCAGAATATATATATACATATATATATATATACACCCTCTGGTAAACTGTCCCATAACTATGGAAAGATCCACCATTTTCAATGGGTAAATCCACTATTTCGACTGGGCCATTTTCAATAGCTATGGAACAAATTACCAGAGGGTATAACCATAGAAATAGTTGATTTCCCTATGAAAAATTGTAATTTTCCATAGTAAACTATGGTTTACCAGAGGGTATATATACACAGTCCATAGGTGCCACCCAAACCATTGGGGGCTTCCGATGGTTGAACCAATAACTTGGCTGATAACGAAATCGGGTCTCTTCAGTGCTTCACCGTTAAATCGGATTCACCAAAAATCCCCCATTTTTTACCAGCCAGGAGTCTGAAGAATAGCTATGTAAATATGTGGTTTTGTTTAGACATGGACTCATGAACTCATGGAGTATAGGATACATTACATATATATACAGTTAATTACATATATATATACATGGATGTGGGTCAAAATGGGTCAAAATGGAAGACCTAGGGGACCACAGATGTTAGTCTAGTTTTGTATTCACCATCCAATTATTGGGGTACCTAATTTTGACCCATACCTATATAATGATGATAAACCACAAAATTTTGGAGTAGCCTATGTTCAGACGAACCCAAAAAACAAAAAAAAACTTCCCATATTTCTTGGTCTATCCATGAGTCTGGTCATTTCAGCCATGGAACATTGCCATTTATAAATGGTACCATTAAAAAAAAGTGATTCCATACAAGATGGTGCCCCATAGTTAGTTAAGTTGGTTTATAACTCCAATAACTATGGTTTATGGTGGATATATCTATACTTACTATGGTGTATAAACCAACTTATAACTGGGGGGCACCACCTTGTATGGTAAATTCCCAGAAATTCCCGGACAACCCAACTAATTTCCGTGACTTCGAAATCGAAATCAAGGTCATCTCATTGCATAAAGCCCCAAGCCGTGATTTTTGCACAAAACAATGGTAGACCGTAGTTGGCACGGACAAAATTGAGGGGTCGCCTATCAACCAAGCACCATACTTTCAACCTATCATAACAAAAACCATGTCGTCCTGAAGAGTCCATGGTGTTGATTTTTTTCATGTTTCAACAGTCATCTTTTGGACTTTTGGACCTAAGAATGTTTGATTTCAAAGTTCACTTCGAAGGGATGCCGATGTTTGGGCGTCATGGCACGGCGCTTCCGCAGCATGGCAAAAGCGATGAGCGCCAAACTCATAGCCTTGCGGTACAGGTCTACCATCCAAATGAAACGTGGCGCAGGATGGAAAATCCCACCCTATGTATATATATATATATGTATGTATATATATATATATATGTATATATATATAATGTATAGCCATATAGCAATCATATAGCCATTTATAGATGAATTTCTCATGAAAATCTCCATTTATAGTGGATTATAATGGATTATAGTGGATTATTGTGAATATATATATATATATATGTGGATATACCATGATATACCCCCTGGTAATCAAACATTGAAAATCCACCAGAAATAGCACCAGATGACGTTCCCAGCGAACGTCATACCTCCCAGCCACGTTGGATTGCCGAAGGGTTTTGGTTTAAACATCCTGAAATGGGATATCTACAAGATGATGCCCCAGTTCGTTAGTTAAATTGGTGCACATAACTCCAATAACTATGGTTTATGGTGGATATATCTATACTTACTATGGTTTATAAACCAACTTAGCTATCGAACGGGGGCCTCACATTGTAGCCAATTAATCCCTTCCCCGTAATTTTTTCAACACCCCCTTTTTACGATCTCGCATGGTTCAGTGTGGGGAATTTCTACATCATTGGGACCATGCAATTGGGGTGTTTATATAATATATTATAATATTAGGCTGATGGGATTAACATAGCCAATATAAATAGCCTCAACTATTTTTCCGGGTTTGAATCCGCAAGATTTTTGCGAGTCAAATGACTGAGGAACACGCTCCATCAAAATCCTTGATATTTAGGACGTAATATGAAATTGGCAATCTACTGCTCACCTTCACTTTCTTCTACTTCGGTCAAGTCGGTGAAGTAATCCCCCCACAAGAGAGACATACTCTCTGGTCATTTAACATAGCTATTAAACATGTTGATTTGATTTCCCATAGCAAAAAATATTCCCATGATTTTCCCATGATTCTCCCATAAAACCTCCATTTTTGTTGTGGATTGTCCGAGATGTTCCCGATTAAATCCCATTAAACATACCCTCTGGTAAACTGTCCCATAACTATGGAAAGATCCACCATTTTTAATTTTTAATGGGTAAATCCACTATTTCAAAAAGGCCATTTTCAATAGCTTTTTGTATGTTTACCAGAGGGTAGCTATGTTCCCCACATCTCCCGCAATCCCAGATGCCGCCAGCAGCAGCCACGCCCAGGGTGCTTTGCCAAAGCCAGACGCTCCGCCAACTTCGAGGCCCGGTACGGAATCGACCCAGACCTCTACGGTGTGCAACATGGCCTCCTGGCGCTCGTAAAAAATAGGAGAAACCTCCTATAGAATATGGTGATTTCAAGCACATTTTCATGGGATTTAAGGGCATGTTATATACTTTTTGTGGTGATTTTAAGCACAGTGGCAGAAGATATGGGAAAATTATGGTTTAAGGGGGTTATAGGGGGATCAATGATGAGGATTGGGTCGGGATTCCATGCATAAACTGGAAAATCCCCCGGAAAATCATTAATCCGATAACTCTCTGGTAATTCAACCATCAAAAATGCAAGATGGGGCCTCCCTAACAATAAGTTGATTTATAACTGGGGGGGGGCGCCAGGGCCACCTTGTGTGGATGTTGATGTCTAAACAAGCAGACATTTGGATGTAAGATGATGTAACATGATGTAACATGATGTAACATGATGTAACATGATGTAACATGATGTAACATGATGTAACCATCAAGCAATGGAATCTGATCTTGCAGAACTACGTAGTGATGTTCCATAAAAGTATGGTCAGCCCACTCAAGATGGGTTTTGGGGAGTTGACTTGATGATGTTACGAGCAAAAATGGGGAGTTTGCCCATGAAGAGCTGAAGATTTATCAGAGATCTCATCAACAAAACATGGGAATTTAATTATCAAACATTGATATCTGACTATCAAAAATAGGGAGTTATAATGCGGAGTCATCGTATGGGATGGACTCGTGGTCGCTGAAACACAAACATCATTTGTATCATGCTATTGAAACTGCCTTTTAGGTGCTTCTAAACCATACTTTTTTTGTTGGGGTTTGTCTGATTAAGGGGAAAACATGGAAAACCCCCCATTCCATCTACTGGTAGATCATCCAAAAATTGAAGCTGCTACTGGGGAGTTCATTCTCCGTTTTCACACAGAGCCATATTAAGTTCTTCTGTATAATTGGATGCACAGATGAGACGTATCCCTATAAAATGGTAAAAGGCACATATTTATAAACATTTATATATAACCCCCCCCCCCCCAAAAAAAAAAAACATTTATAGACATGTATAAACACCTCGAAAAAAAAAGACATCTTTGTTGGTAAACACATGTATAAAGATGTATAAAATCCCAACAAAAAGCTAATATAACTATCATAAATATCATAAATCAGCGATAATTCCCAGTAAATCCCCATGTTTCTTGGTGAAAGTCACCCCGTTCAGTCGGACACTTCCACGGATCCTTCACCGTGGTGGTTCCCTCCGTACAATTGGGATGAACCAGGCAGGTGAAGAGCGCAGTGACCTGTGGCTCTAATGGGAGTTTACCATTCAATGTGTCAATGGGATTACATACATAAATATATATATATTATAGTGTATATATATATAGTATATATAGTGTATATATATATAGTACATATATATATATATATAGTGTATATATATATATATACAGTAATTATATATGTATGTGTGTACATACATACCTTGGAAACTACCAAAATGATGAGAACGAACTCACGTACCAGGTGTTCAAATGTATACGAGGTGATCTTGTCCAACCGTGGTCACGGCCCTAGTGGGGTTCCTCGCTTCAACCCCCCCAGAAGAATATCAGTCATTGTAGGTGATCATCTCAAAATATCGTCAAAAATATCTCATTATAATGTTATATATTACGAACTTCTTTGAAACATTTGGGTTTACCCTCTGGTAATTTAACATAGCTATTGATGATCACCATTTAGTTCGTGAATTTTCCCATGAAAAATGGTGGATCTTTCCAGTTCGTTATGTTAGTTAAAATATGGCTATCCTCCATTGATATCTCCATTCTGCGAATGGAAAAATGTCCTAAGTTATATCCCATTGATATCGGTCAGACCTCCATGTTATCCACGTGGATTATCGTTCATATGCCATTTATATCCCATTAGACATATCCCATTTTCATATCCCATGAAAAACTCCATAAAAATATTCCATTTTCATATCCCATGAAAAACTCCATAAAAATATCCCATGTTCATATCCCATGAAAAACTCCATAAAAATATCCCATTTTCATATCCCATGAAAAACTCCATAAAAATATCCCATTTTCATATCCCATGAAAAACTCCATAAAAATATCCCATGTTCATATCCCATGAAAAACTCCATAAAAATAATCCCACTTTCATATCCCATGAAAAACTCCATAAAAATAATCAAATCCCATTTTCATATCCCATGAAAAACTCCATAAAAATAATCCCACTTTCATATCCCATGAAAAACTCCATAAAAATAATCCCATTTTCATATCCCATTAGAAAAACTCCATAAAAATATCCCATGTTCATATCCCATTTTCATATCTTCATTTTTTTGTTGCTTAACAAAGACCATGAGATTCCGCAGCGACCTGCGTTCGTTCGCCAAGGGGCCATGGGTCGGGTGAGTTCGCCTGTGTCTCGTCGAAAGGCTTCTTTGTGTCTGACCTTCCGCCAGCGCTTGATACGATGGCTGATAGGTAGTAAACATCCAATTAATGCTGGTTGGTGGTTTCAACCATCTTAAAAAATATTAGTCAACGGGAATTTCTGGGAATTTACCATACAAGGTGGTGCCCCCCAAGTTATAAGTTGGTTTATAAACCATAGTAAGTATAGATATATCATGATATATCCACCATAACACATAGTTATTGGAGTTATGAACCAACTTAACTAACGAACTGGGGCACAAAGAAGGTCATTAGTTTAGTGGTAAACATCCAATTAATGCTGGTTGGTGGTTTCAACCATCTTAAAAAATATGAAAGTCAATGGGAAGGATGATCCCATATCTTATGGAAAAATAAAAAATGTTCCACACCACCAACCAGATATTAATGTCATTAATGTGGTTAAAACAATGCCATGTGCACCAGGAAAATCACCATTTTTATAGGTGGTGCAAACCATTCCCAAATGGGTACTTTATTGTTGTTTTAACCACATTATTTTGTTTGGGTGTCAACCATCCGTTTGGTGCAGGATTTCTGAAAAATTCACAGTATTAAAAATGGTGGATCTTTCCATGGCTATGTTAAATAACCAGAGGGTATATTGAATCTTTTCACATCAACTTCCGTGTGTTTTTTTTGGGCTTCCCAAACTTTGTGTGAGTCCAACTAGCCATGATCAGCAGAAACAATTCATGGGAAGATCAGCAGAAGCATAATGGATCCTTTTGGGAGTAAAAAATATATGGTTTACCATCATTATCCCCATCGTTAAATAGTCATTTTGGAGAGTATACCCATTACATATCTCCATTCAATGGGAGATCTTCAGGATCAATTTTAATGGAGCTACGTAAACGTACCATATTTTGGGCCATATGAATTGTGGAGATATTCTCTGAAATTTAGGCCTGAAAAATAGGCCTTATATATATGGTAGGTACCTCCAATCAATCGGTTCCTGAACTGGCCATTGAATATGTAGGAAAATTGGGGATATCACCAATACAGTACCAATATCAATGGGGATGTGGGGAAGGGATATAAAGGGAATATATATATATGTGGAAATTATGGGATTTTCCATGGTTTTAGCCACCTCTATTGACCTGGAAATCCATGGCTGGTTCCCGTGAACGATTATTATGTTGGTTTATTGGATGGTAAGTACCAAAAATGATTTTTTATTACTTGTGTGGGTCATTGGTACCCCATGTTTGACCCATATCCATATTGAATAACCCCAGTTGAACAGCATTAAAAACCAGTGTTATTTTTCATAAGCGATTATCCTTATCAAACCCTTCCTCCGAATATTTTTTTATGCTACCCAGATCGAAATCCTAGTGGAAAAGAATGTGTTTCTACTCTTCTATAGAGGGCCCATTTAAACTATAGAGGGCCCCCTTTCAGGAAATTCCATAGGAGGGAATCGCCTTCTTGCTGGTTAGTGCCCGGCCCATATGGCTTTGAGCGAAATGTCCCAGAAATCTCTTCAAGTTGAAATGTCCTACATCATATTCTAAACTCAAGCTCATAAACTGGGGTATCACCCATTTTGAAAGAGTAGTGAAAAACAAACACACTGTTTCTTGTGGTCTTAGATAGTTAAAAGAAGATTTGTCTAAACCCTCGGCTTATGAAAATAGGGGGTTACCATTGTTTAACTCATAGTTTACCCTCTGATAATCAAACGTGGCAATGGACAATTCCCTATCAATGGAGGCTTTTGTGGGAACATCATCAATCTCAATGGATGATCTTCCAGAGAGCCACGAACTTGATTACCGGAGGCTATAACTCACCAGGCTAACTGGGTAGTTACAACTATGCTTGTTAGGGTTTATAAACCGACTAGAGCTATTTGCCTATTGTGATAGGTGCTTGATGGCTAATATATCTCACTCATGTTTTCTTTAACTCATAATATCTCACAATTTCTCGTGGTGTTTTGCAAAACTCTTACCGAAAGCAAAACCAATGGCGATCGATCCGATCGCAGCCAGGCAGCAGCATTGCCCCACATGGCGATATCCATGCCTCAGGCGGGAAAATCCATCGATTATTTGTCCCAAAAAAAATATGCCATAGTATCCCATATGCTCAATGTATGGAATATTTACCTACATTTACCCAACAAATGGCCCAAATGTAGGTAAATATACTATACATGGAGCATCTGGGTATTAATACCCAAATCCACATTGATGTTGTTGCTGTTACGTATGTTTATCGTTGTTGATCTCTATCTCAGAAATACGCCCCATGATTTGTTGGAAAAAAAAACATCGTCTGGTTGGTGGTTGAGCCAACCCCTCTGAAAAATATGAGTTCGTCAGTTGGGATGATAAAATTCCCAGTATATGGAAAAATAATCCAAATGTTCCAAAACACCAACCAGAATAGGTACCATTAATGGATTATCATTAAAATAGGTACCATTCATGGCAAAAAAATAATGGAAAATCATGGGTTTTATTAGGATAATCATAGGATAATTTTGATGAATAATGGGTAAAATAACGGGAATTGTGGGACTATTGGTTAATTCATATTTCCATATTATGGGATTATTATCGATGAACATTTCTTCCATAAGAGGTACCATTTAATCTGCAAAATAGTCCCATAATAGGTATCATACTGTAAGGGGAAATTTCCGATAATAATAATCGATTTCACCAATTGAATTTCCCATCATTTTTATTGATGACAATGATTTATATAAATGATAATGATGATACGACATGATGTGAAACGAATTTCCCATAATAGGAGATTTCACCAACAAACAATTAATTTCTCGTATATCCTATATTTTATACCACTAGGAATATAGAGTAACCCGAACTTATGCCATTTATAACTGGGGTTATAACATGTTTTTACCCACTTTCTAAGTGGGATGAGCCACCAATTGGGAAATTCACCGATTTAATAGGAATATCATTGGGATTTAACCAACAAAAGCGGTGGTCTTTCATAAGATGATATAAGAAAATTGAAAAATCATCTAAACCTTACATGGTGGATTTTCCAGCAAGCCATGGTTGATTGCCATAGGGTATCATAGGGTAAAAGTTTATCCACGAAAATTCTGTACTGGCAGTTGAGACACCCCCACTGAAGAATTTGATCGCCAATAAGGTGTCCGGTAACCGGTAATCATACTGTGGATGGTTGCTAAAATCCTGCATCACCGAAAGGATGGTTAAAACATATTAAAACCCTATACCCTCTGGTAATTTAACATAACTATGGAAAATCACCATTTAGTTCGTGGATTTTCGCATGAAAAATGATGGATCTTTCCATAGTTATGGGACAGTTTACCAGAGGGTAAATAATGGGATGTTTACCACCGTCTTCAACTGGTGCTTCGGATTTCGCAACCATCCACCATTGCTTGGTGGAACATCCCCCAGAAATCGTTCGTTGGGGCGGTGTCCCAGCTTGCCATGCTTGATTCCCTGAGACTACCCTCTGGTTATAACCAACATAGCTATGGAAAACCACCATTTTTAATAGGTAATTCAACTATAAATGACCATTTTCAATAGCTACGTTAAATTACCAGAGGGTAGATACCCTGCAAACAAACATAGACATAGCCGTTTGATATCCCTTAAGTATACCCCCATTGCGTCCCATTGCCTGCTTGGCCAATATCCCGTAGAAATACTCAAAATGACTCAAACACAATAGTCCTATACTATTTATGGTAAAATGTTCAACCCGAATTTCCTATTGGTCAATTCCTTGCTTATTGGTTTATATCCCCATTAGATCCCCATCAACAAAAGTTGGTAGAACCCACATTAGTCATCCGCCAATAACCCAACAGAAAATCATTTGCTGCTTGCATATTCTACCCCCACTATATTGCCATAAAGTGATATATCACAATATGTCCAAAAAGGCATGTAAGCATAATCCAGCATCGGTAAATATCTTGTTGCGTGAAAAATCCCATAAGACATCCCCCATGTTTTCTTGCTGATCTATCCCGAAGAAAATATCCCCATGGTGTCCCCATTGAATTTAGCCTTTAAATATGATACATGAATATGTAATATCAATAGTAAGGGGATGGTTTATTAGGTACCCTCTGGTAAACTAACATAGCCATTGAAAATGGCCATTTATAGTTGATTTACCCATGAAAAATTGTGGTTTTCTATATTGCCAGAGGGTAAATATTTTTCATTGGGATATTTAAATATTGATAGAATAACTATTTAAATATCCCAAGAAATTGTAAGGTATTTGAATAGTTTAAATCAATTGATAGATGATAATTATCTTGCGTAAATATAGATAATATTGATCCAACTAAAATAATCATCAAATAGTCCCATAAAATATCACCATTAAAACCAAGTATATAAAGCATTCGAGAAAAATATGGTAGTTAATCATCCAAATGGTGTAAATACGTAGTTATTTAATCCATTTCAATAGCACGATTATTACTATCAGTATAATCTTATTATGAAATCAAGTATTATTTCATTCTTCTAACCCATATGGTAATTAATCATCCAGCTTTAGTAATTGATCATTATTATTGGTTTATTAGCAAATCCATGGTCATAACCCAGTTCATGGTTGATTTTCCCAACTATAAATCTCCATTTAAAGCGGATTTCCGATAGTTTTCCTATATACCCTCTGGTAAACTGTCCCATAACTATGGAAAATCACACATTTTCATGGCTAAATCAACTATAAAACACCATTTTCAATGGAACAAATGACCAGAGGGGAGTCGCCTGTGATTGTCCTCCGTCCGATTCCGAGCGGCAGGATCTCCGCCGCACCTCCGCATTATCGAAGGCGCTGGTGCCTGAAGAGGGTGGTGCCCCCCCAGATGGTGCCCCAGTTCGTTAGTTAAGTTGGTGCACATAACTCCAATTTTACTATGGTTTATGGTGGATATATCATGATATATCTATACTTACTATGGTTTATAAACCAAGTTATAACTGGGGGGCACCACCTTGTATGTTTGGGGGATCAAGGATGCGGATTGGGTTGGGATTCTAACTGGCAAAAACCCTGGGAAAATGATTTTTTCATCACTGGTTGTTGGTTTATAAACCATCATAACCCCCATGAAGTATAGATACATCTACCATATACGATAGAATTCAGCCACTTATATCTCAACCTGAAATATAACATCTGGTTGGTGGTATGTATACCTACCCCTCTGAAAAATATGAGTTCGTCAGTTGGAATGATGAAATTCCGAATATATGGAAACATAAAAAATGTTCCAAACCACCAACCAGATAGTAACTATAGTTACATCCCCTACAAACCCTAGTTAATGTAGTTCTAAACCAAGTTAGCTAGCCATGGGGCACCACCTTAGATGGAGGAACCACTTGGAAAGTCGAACGCCGGAACTCGTGGGGTTCTCCCATTTATAACCTATTAATACCTATTATTTAGTAACTGATTAGTCACCATAGTGTAAACCCCTATTATAAATATCTATACCCTCTGGTAAACGTTTACACAAGTATCGAAAATCACCTTATTTTTAATGGGAAAACTCACTATTTCTATATTTTCGACTGGGCCATGTTCAATAGCTATGGAACAAATTACCAGAGGGTATCCCCATATATTCCTATGATGTTCCCATAAATTCCCATCTAATACATCCATTTCTAGTGGATATTTCCCATATAAAACCATATACCCTCTGGTAATTTAACATAGCTATTGAAAATGGTGTTTTATAGTGGATTTTCCCATTAAAAATGGTGGATCTTTCCATAGTTATGTTAGTTTACCAGAGGGTAAAACCATATAAAACCTCCATTTTCCAGTTCGCTTTTTGTATGTTTACTCGATTATATGGTGACCTAAACACCAGTTACATGGCCGCCCTGGGACGATCCCAGAGGAGTTTTTTCCAAAAAAATGGTGGTTTTACCATGGGTTTTATGGGACATATCCACTAGAAATAAGGAGGTTTTAGATGGGAATTGATGGGGAAATCATGGGAATCTCTGGGGATCCCCATTGATAGCATGGTGGATCCACTTCGCAAAATGGTTTCCAGTTTACCAGGCTGGGTATATTCCATGGAATATGGGACTCATTATAACCATTATTATTACCATGATTATAACCATGAATATAACCATAGTTTCCCATTATCATTATTAACCATTAATTATGGGGATATTATAACCATTTTATAACCATTATGATTACCATTATTATTACCATTATATAACCCATGGGAATGGGAATCATGCCTATTCTATTCCATGAATTCCCAGGTGGCCGCCTGGTTGGTTTTTCATGACGCTCATCCCGTTGGAATAATCAAATCCCTACGGACTGATGGGTAATAATCATCCAGCTGGTGTAGCTTGGTGGCGAATTTCTGGGAAATTTCTTATAAAATTATGTTCCCAATTTTTTTAAGGCAATTCTCTCAGAAAATCTCCATCTCTTATTGGAAAATCTCTTGATGTTCCCAATTTGTTTAAGGCAAAACTCTCAGATGGAGATTTTTTCCCAGATTTTTTTCTGGAAAAAATATGAAAGCCCAATTCTCAGATGGTGATTTTTGGAAAAATGGAAGATAATTGAAGTCCATTTTTGGGGGGATTTAAGATCATGGAATTTCTGGGAAATTTATTGATGTTCCCAATTTTTTTTTGGCAAAAATCTCTCAGATAGTGATTTTTCGAAAATTGTTTTGTCCATTTTTGGGGGATTTGATATGATTTGATCATCCAGTCGCATATCTGGATTTCTGGTTGGTGGTTGAGCCCTACCCCTCTGAAAAATCATGGAGTGAAAGTCAATGGGTTTCGGATGACATCCCTTTTTTATGAAATGGAAAGTCATAGTCCATTCATGTTTGAAACCACCAACCAAATATCCAGATATCCATTCATCCTGCTGGTTGCTGGTTATAAGCCCATGATTCACCACTAGAAAAACCATAGATTATCCATGATTCATCCAGAAATGAGACCGCAAAGTTGGATGAGGAGTTTGTGATGATGATCCACCGCACCAGATTTGGGGTACGAAAGAGTTTCTAGAACCCACCGAATTTCAACCCTTCTCTGGTGGCTTAAAACCAGCACCAAAAATGAAAATGTGGGTATTGACCAACTGGGAATTGGCTAAGTTGGTTTATAGCTGGACTAACTATGGTTTGTGGTAGATATATCTATGGTATGAACCAACAGACATAAGTGGGGGGCCCAGCTTGTACCCTTTTCTCACCAGTTGGTTTACCCAGACATTCTGTGGATGGTTAAGAAATCCTGCACCAGGGTAACTATTGGGATTCCGTAGAAACCATCTAGCAACTGGTAATAATGGTATAATTCCTATGAAAACTATTGGTAACCATTCCTATGAAACCATTCCTATCAACTATTGGTAAAAAACTTACCGATCATCTATGGTGGGATAAATGGTATTCCTACTATCCCATTCCTATGAACCCCTGTAAATAATGGGTTAGTAATTAATGGGATAAACATGGATAAACCATCTAGCAACTGGCTAAAAAAGTCCATCCATCCACAGACACCGCTGTACCAATCAAGGCTCTCATCATGGACAACGACGAGGCGGCATCCCGCACACTCTGCACACCTTTTTTGTGTGTGCTCCGGATGCGCGAGGCGGTGGGACCCCAATTTCTGGGAGCTTTTGACTGGGAAAATGGTTGTTTGAATGGGGAAAATCATCAACCAGCAAGTTACCCTCTGGTAATTTAACATAGCTATGGAAAATCACCATTTTCAATGGGAAAATCCATTATAAATGGTCATTTTCAATAGCTATGTTAAATTACCAGCAAGTTATCACGAAAAATTCTGGGTGAGTGTTGAAATTCGATGCCAACAATCCACCATTTTTTCATAGGAAAATACGATGACAAACCAACGTAACCGGCACCGGATTGGCGACCATGGTTTCATCCAGATGTTTTTTTTGGGTGGTCATTCCATGGTTAAAAAGCACCGCTTATGTCATTTACATTATGATGGGATGATCAATAGTGGAAAGACTCATTGTAAAAAAAATACCCCTGTGATTGGTTTGGAATTAAATGCTTCTTAATTGAGTTATGGTCCCGTTATAACCCATAATTGATCTATAATTGTGATTTTTCAGACCCCGGTAAATTAACATAGACCCTGCCAGATAGGGGTTGGAAGACTAGTTTGCATTAAAAATTGGTGATTTTCAGGGTCTATGTTAATTTACTGGAGGGTAACCCACAGAACGACCATCCATCATAACTCGTATACTTTCCTCCTATTCACCGCAGTGATGGACCCTTTCCAGGACCAGTTTGGCAAGGTAGTCCCCACCATTCCCCACCGTTGTGTTTTGGCAGGGCCAAAAGCCCATCTACAACTGGAAGCTGTCATTGGAAACCACAGAAAATCATCTGGTTGGTGGTATACCTACCCCTCTGAAAAATGATGGAGTTCGTCAGTTGGGATGATGAAATTCCCAATATATGGAAACATAAAAAATGTTCCAGACCACCAACCAGTTCATGTTTTGGAGTAGAGTCCAGAAGACAACCTCGAATGGGAATGGGGATCGAATCAATAACGATGAGCTTGGGAAACTCTTCGTAGCTCCTTGTCGCCCCATTGAACAGAGAATATAATATATATATATACAACTTCTTGGCTCCCTTCCTAACCACTGGATAGCCAACATTACTTGGATATCTTGCATAGATAGTCTTGATATTGTATCCCATTAAATGGGGATATATATATATATATACGTACCAATATGTACAGTAATCCGAACTAATATCCAGGCATAGCCAAAATTACTTGTAGATAGTACCCCATGATATAATCACATGAAAAATGGGCCATGAAAATCCGAACTCATATCATATCAATGGCCCTGCAACAGGAACCGCTTGATTGGAGCTACCTACCATCTATAAGGCCTGTGTAAGGCCTAAATTCAATGGCCATTTCAGGAACCTGAATTGGAGGTAGCTACCATATATAAGGCCTATGTAAGGCCTATGTAAGGGAATATCCCCAGAAAATATGGCCTTATATGGTACAGTACCTCCATGTTAGGATCTTGAAATTCCCATTGATCATATCCCTATTTTGGATGATGCACCAGGCCCGACGATCATCCCACGATTCCTCCCTGCGGCTTATCCCAGTTGTAAATGGCTGAACTATAGTAACCCCACTAACCAACCAGCTACGAAGTGTGGTTATGACCCCAGTAGCCACTGGTTATTTTACATAGCGAACTGGAAAATCACCATTGTTTAGGTAAATCATCCACTTCAATGGACCCAACATTCCTCCAAGGGGTGATCCTGCAAGCAGTGGGTAAACACCAAGATCATTCCAATTTCATGCAAAACAAACAATGATTCCTCCATTACTGGTTGGTGGTTTTCACCATCTTGGAAAATATGAAAGTCAATTGAAAGGATTATCCCATATATGAAATGGAAAAATAAAAAATGTTCCAAACCACCAACCAGATTACTATTGTTGGTTACACACCCATCACTAATCACTATTAACCATAGATTATCCAACCAAAATCCCATAGATGGATTTGTCTTCAAAAAAAACAGTACCCAAAAAAAAAAACGATGGTTAATGATCATTTTCCCATCTAAATAGCTATAGTGGCTATCTTCTATTTTCCTGTTAGCTACCCTCTGGTAAACTAACATAACTATGGAAAACCACCGTTTTTTATGGTTAAGTCCACTATATCTATGGCAATTTTCCATAGCTATGTTACAGTAAATTACCAGAGGCTATAGGCTATAGATTTCTTGATTGAATCATTGGTAGATGATCATTCTCGGATTATATCTCTGGCACCGATTGAATGCCAACAAATCCATGGTTGTTTCATTGTACTTACCCTCCGGTAAACATACAAAAAACTATTGAACATGGCCACAGAAATACTCGATTCACCCATTAAAAATGGTAGTTATGGGACAGCTACCAGAGGGTAACATAGACTCCAGTAAATGAACATAGACCCTGCCATTCATCAGGGTTGGAAGATTAGTTTCCACTAAAAATTGTTCAGGTTCAAACGGTTAATTTACCAGAGAGTATCCATATTAACTTATCCATCTAAAAATCCATTATAATTAACATAACAAAAAAAATATCCATAATAATTAACATGACATAAACATCTGTTGTTGTGTTTTACCACGTTAAAAAAAAAAAATCTGACTCTGAAGACCAAGCAACCATAAAGGTCGTGCAGCACTTGATGGAGGTGCGTGCCACCATAGACAGAGCCCAGAACCCGCCATAGCACACTGTTGTCCTTGGACGAGACAACAGGGGAAGACATGGAAGAACCTGGTTGGTACAAGGTGGTGCCCCAGTTCCTTAGCCAAGTGGGTGCGTGCTGGTAACTCCAACAACTAACTATGGATCTATGGTTTGTGGTTGATTTTTTGTGGCTTTGTAACTCCAATAACTATGGCATAAATGGATGATACATCTCTACTATTCCTATGGATTCCTATGGTTTACAAACCAACGTTCCATCACTGGGGCACCACCCTTGTGCTTGCTATGGATTAGGTTGAACCATCCCGGAGGTGTCGTCGCATCCTTAGGCTGATCTGACGGTCAACGAAGAGGTCGCGAAGTGAAAAATCACCATGGTTTTTTGGGGGGGTAAACCAATGATCTATGGTTAATAGTGGTGAATAATGGGGCTTATAACATATTCAACATGTTGTAACCAGCAACAATGGATGAATCATGGATCATCTATGGTTAATACTGGTGAATACTGGATTCATCCCCCAGTGATTCCGCATGAACAAGATTCTGCATGCGTGATATGCCGCCTGATGCTGAGCCCTTCATCATATCCTGAGCCGCGGAGGTTGGGGCCCAAGTCTCGGAGGAAGTTGGTGAACATCACAGCAGTGTTTCATTAGGCTTTATGGATGTTTATGGTAGATATATCTATAGTTAATAGATGTTAATAGATGTTAATAGATGTTAATAGATGTTAATAGATGCTAATAGATGTTAATAGATGTTAATAGATGTTAATAGATGTTAATAGATGTTAATAGATGTTAATAGATGTATATAGATGTATATAGATGTATATAGATGTTCATCGGCTTTGTAAACCAACTTGTAACTGGGAAAAACAAAAAAAACGCCGTTTTGGTATCGCTTTCGTCCCAAAATCGCAGCCACCAGCTGGGATCATCAAGGATCATCACCGAGGCACCTGGACCATCGACCTCGAGTAAACGATCAAAGTATTTCCCAGATTTTAAAAGCATCATCTGGATGTCTTTCCTGCGCACAACGTGCGGGACATGGCAGTGTGTCAAAAACCCATGGAATCCCCTTCTGTTCACATCAAAATAGCTGGGATTTATGGATGTTCATCCCCCTAAAAATGGTATTTTCATAGGTATTGATCCATAGCCACATCACTTCTGCGGGACATCACTTGTGCGGATCACGGGACACCGGGCCGGGCGGGCTGGGCTTCGTGGTAGTGAGCCATCAGTAGTTGGCTTATTGAACTTTATTGAAGCATCCCATTTCAGGATACTTCGCCTCTAAAAATGTGGCTTTCCCAAGTCATGGTGGTACCCCCATGTTTCATCCATTGATATAATGGGATGTTCCATCATAAATGGAGGTTTTATATGGTTTTATATGGGACATATCCACTAGAAATTGATGTTTTATATGGTTTTAGATGGGAATATATGGGAAAATCATGGGAATATATGGGGATACCCTCTGGTAAACATACAAAAAGCTATTGAAAATGGCCATTGAAATAGTTGATTTGCCCAGCTATAACATGGTGGATCTTTCCAGTTCGTTTTCTGGGACAGTTTACCAGAGGGTATACCATAATTATGGGGATATTATAATCATTATAACCATTATTACAACCATCATTATAACCATGATTATAACCATGGTTTCCCATTATTATTATCATTATAACCATTAATTATGGGGATATTATAACCATTATATAACCATTATTTACCAGAGGGTAACCATTATATAACCATTATATCACCATTAATCATTACATAACCATTAATTACATAACCATCATTGTAATCATTATTATACCCTCTGGTAAACTAACCTAGCTATTGAAAATAGCTATATTATATAACCATACTATATAACTAACATAGCTATACTATATATAGAGGAAACTAATCTTCCAACCCCTATCTACCAGGGTCTATGTTAATTTTCTGGAGGTTATATCACCATAGTTTACCAGAGGGACCCCCATGGGAAAGCGCCCCGCCACCAACCCGTCGACCGAACCGCTACCGGAACCGGTACCGCCTCCAGGTGTGTTCCGAGATGCCATGCGGCACCTTTTGAACCGGAGCCGGTGCGGTTTATCCAGTTGAAACCCTGTGGTAAACTGTCCCATAACTATGGGAAAACCATGGGAAAATGGTGATTTATATGGAAAGATTCACAGTTTTTAATGGGAAAACTCACTATTTCGACTGGGCCATGTTCAATAGCTATGGAACAAATTACCAGAGGGTAGGTGGTAAACATCCCACTATTTATAGGCTTTCAACGGTGCAGATTTCTTCCATCCACAGTATGTTTATCACAACTTCGGCTGTCAATTGTCACAAATGCATACAAATGTGTTGGCCAATGTGTCTCTTCGAAAAATGGGAAAGCATTTTTTTTAGGAAAAAGCTGGAAAACATGGAAATTCCCATTTTTTTCTGGTGATTCCCCCTTTTTTCCCATATTTTTGTGAAGAAATGGAACGTGACCCATCACAAGTAGGAGTCACTACTGAAAATCCAGCGAAAATCCATCAGGAGTTGATACCCAGCAGTTCGTTCAAACGCAAGGACGGGCAGAAAAGACGAAAACAGAATGATTATATTCCTGGGATTAATATATATATATATGGAATAATTCCTGGGATAGATGATGTTTTTTATATGGGAAAATCCCTGACAAATGGAGGTTTATAGCTGGAAAATTCATCTATAAATGGTGATTTTCCATGGCTATGTTAAATAACCAGATGGTATCCTTATTAAAACGGCCATAACTCAATGGCCATGCAACAGGAACCGATTGATTGGAGGTACCTACCATATACATAAGGCCAACAATTTTCAGGCCTATTTTTTAGGGAATATTCCCATTGAATAGATGTGTTTTGTTTACCTCATAAAAATCCATTTATGATAATGATAATGAGATTTGTTGGATGTGTTGGAGATAGATGTGTTTATCATTAACCTCAAAAACAAAACACATCTATTTTAAGAGGTCCCATTGTTCAATCATGATTTTTTAGCTATTGAAAATGGGCCATAGAAATCGTGGATTTACCCATTGAAAATGGTGGATCTTTCCAGTTCGTTATGTTAGCCCGTTTACCAGGCAGGGTAACTGCGATGTTCAGGATAAGTCCAGTTCTAAAAAATCATTCCAATGATCCATTTATCATTATAACCATTAATTATGGGGATATTATAACCATTATATCACCATTAATCATTACATAACCATTACATAACCATCATTGTAATCATTATTATACCCTCTGGTAAACTAACATAGCTATTGAAAATAGCTATATTGTAGAACCATTATATAACCATTACCCTCTGGTAAATTAACATAGACCCTGAAAATCACCAATTTTTAGAGGAAACTAATCTTCCAACCCCTATCTACCAGGGTCTATGTTAATTTACTTTCTATTTTGAGATTGATATGATAATGAGCACCCCCATTTTGTGCTCATTTTGGGTTCCATTGGTCCCATTGATGTTGGAGATTCAGGAGGCAGATAGGGATGCTAGCTGATCATATGGTGTAAATCTAGCAACCACATGTATATATATATAATTATGTATGCATGTATATATATATATATAATTATGTGTATATATATAATTGTATACATATATATATATGGAGATGAGCTGAATCCGGCACAGATTAGCTATCTATATCAGCGATTGATGTTAGTGACCCCATACAGTACTTGGAGGATCATCCTACTTAGTTGCCTGCTAATAGCCCTGATGATCATATGTCCGGATTCGTTGGTTATCCAATAAAATGAATGATGTAACTATGATGATCCAAGCCCCCTAGTCATAAATTGATTTATAAACCCCATGAATACTATAGTTATTTGTGTACCATAAATTATAGTTACTGGAGTTATTTGCACCAACTTAGCTATCGAACGGGGGCCCCACATTGTATGATGATCCAAGGCAGCTAGTGTACACTAAATGGAATGACCCTCCAAGTTTTCTAAGTTGGTTTATAGCTCCATCTAACTATCCTAATATACAGATATACCGATATACCTCATCTCATCATAGATCTGGTACATAATCAATATTACATACCAAACATATTGGCATACTTTATATATATATATGTTATGATGTGATATACCCATCTCATTAAATCCCAGAAAATAACATATATTTCATGTGAAATAACTATCAAATAGTTATACCATCAAAAAAGGATTTAATCCCAGAAAATAGTTATTTCTAATATATATGTGTTATTTCATGGTCCTTTTTTGCGCGCAAAAACGCCAAAAAAAGCGACATCATCGTGGATGTGCTGGGCGATAAAGGCCAACTGCTCCAGAAAACTCACCTCAACGGAGACCAGTTTTCAACGACAACAAAGATGTGGATGAATGGGAATTCCATGGATAATATGTGGTTAATATATGCTTAATGATCACTATCCTTGGTTAATGAATATATTCTTAATAAAATTAGTACCATCTGGTTATGACTAACATAGCCATGGAAAATCACCATTTTTAAGAGGTAAACCATCTATAAATGGGCCATGTTCCATGGCTATGTTAAATAACCAGAGGGCAAGTTGCCATTTTGAATCACACTACCATCTGGTAAACTGTCCTAGAAAACGAACTGGAAAGATCCACCATTTTCAATGGGTAAATCGACTATTTCTATGGCCATTTTCAATAGCTGTGTTTGACATAACCAGAGGGTAACCATCATTCTTTATGGTTAAAATCCCAATGGGGCTCCCATTAGCGTTCAGTTGCCTGAAAAAAGTGGCTACAAAAAATCAGAGGTTCATGGTGGATATAACTATGGTATTCATGGGGCTGATTAATAATAGATATATATATATATATACGGTAACTACATTTAAATATACGGGTTTTTAAATATACGAACAGGTGTTTTAGCCTACCTCCGGGAAGGTTTTCCCTGGCCCGCCCGGCCATTTAAACATACGGAATCCAGTTCATTTAAACATATGGTAACTACATTTAAATATACGAACTGGTATTTCATACTACCTCCGGGGCCTCACAGTCTGGCCCGCCCTCCACGTATTTAAATCTCGTTACCGTATATATATATATATATGGGCTTCTATGGTGGATATACCTAACTACGTATAGTTCATGGGGTTTATAAACCAACTTACAGGGGACGAAATCAGATGAATCAGATGGGCTGCGAATGTTCCGATGATCTTGTTGGTGGTTTCAACCCCTGTGAAAAATATGAAAGTCAGTTAGGATGACTATTCTCAATATATGGAAAAAATAATTCAAATGTTCCAAATCACAATTCACTGTTGGATGATGTTGTAAACCCATGCGGTGCCTTTTTTCCTTTTGTGGACCCAGATTGGAACGATGCTTGTCCAATCGCCAACAAGAACACAAGCGGTATCCTAGACCTTCAAAGCACCTTTGAAAAAAAAACATGATTCTATAGTGACTATGAAAATGATCAACATTCCTCCAAAATGGCTTTCTGAAATAGAATTCACAACTGGTCCACCAAATATATTGCTCCTATGTCAACCCCTGATTTTTTCCCAAACCCTTCGAAATCGTTGAGCCCATGGCTTGACGCATGCATTGGTAATCTTCCGCGAAGGTCGTTGGAAGCCCCACTTGTTGCCTACACCGGGGCGATATTTTGGAGCAAAAAGGTCACCAAACAAACATAAAATGGAGTGTCTAGATATGGTTTATGCAAAGATCACCTTCAAAAACCAAGAAAAAATATGGAGATTTCCCAAAAATGGAGAGTACCTCCAAATCTTGTCCATATTTCAATAGGAAAATCCATGGAAATTCCATAAAATAACCACCCATTTTTGGGGTACCATGGATTGGAAAGCTCCCTTAGTCGGATTCATGGCAAATCGACACCATGGGATTCTGCTTGGTGGTTGGTACGCCTACCCCTCTGAAAAATGATGGAGTGAAAGTCAGTTGGGATGATGAAATTCCCAACTGAATGGAAAAATAATCCAGTTATGTTCCAAACCACCAACCAGGATTTAATGAGATTTCATGGGATTTAATGGTGAATATGAATGGAATAATATTCGGGATTTCATGGCATGTACCCGCTGGTAAACTACCCGTTTGCCATGGAACATCACAATTTTAAGAGCTAAATCATCAAACTCAATAGTCCATGTTCAATAGCTATGTTAGTTTAGAGGGTAGTCCCCCCAAAGAAGCACACATTCAAGAAATGGGTTTTTAAAAACTTGCCTGACGCTTCTTGAGAAATTACGCTGCTTCGAGTGCTTTTTCGGTTGTCGCTTTCAACCAAAACCATACAAGGATAAAGAACTGACAGAAAATCCAGTTATGTGGACCGATCACTTCAGAACTCTACTGGTTGGTGGTATACCTACCCCTCTGAAAAATATGAAAGTCAGTTGGGAAAATAAAGACGAGTAGGTTCCCATATAAGTTGGGTAGTATTTTTCAGTTTGACTAATACTTAGACTGGTTGGTGGTTTTCCAATATATGGGAAAATAAAAAAACGTTCCAAACCACCAACCAGTCCTGCCGTATGATTCAAAACGCTACCCTGCCGTAAAGATCCGTAAACTAAGATGCATAAGCACTGAAACATTCACAGAAAATTGTTGTTGATTTCCTGACAGCACTTCCTGTTCAACCAAACATTGGAAACCATATGAAGCATCTGGGGATATTGTACTAGTTTCTGTACAAGAAATACCCTTTGGTAAACTAACATAGCTATTGAAAATGGCCCAGTCGAAATAGTTGATGAATCCCCATGAAAAATGGTGGATCTTTCCAGTTCGTTTTCTGGGACAGTTTACCAGAGGCTATCTATTTCACCAAAAAAAATGATTCCAACCAGACGACCTTGTCTGGATGATTTAAACATATGGTTGTGAGTCAAAACCCTGGCACCCGGATGGTACCTAAAATAGCTGGTTAATGGATGTTGATTCTTCCAAATATGGTAATGATAGGTTTTGACCCATCCCCATATTGAAAAACTGATTTTTTGAAACCTCATTGGAGGCAATGTGTGTTGTTTTTTTCTATGATAAAACGCATCATTACCCTCTGGTAAACGGGCGTTTACATAACGAACTGGAAAGATCCACCATGCTATTCATGGGAAAACCATGGGAAAATGGTGATTTATATGGAAAAACACAATGTTTTAATGGGAAAACCATGGGAAATTTGTGATTTATATGGAAAGATCCACTATTTTTCATGGGAAAATCCACGATTTCTATGGGCCATTTTCCATAGCAAACTGGAAACAAATTCCCAGAGGATATTGTCTGGAGAATTTCCATGGATTTCCATACCATCTTCGATCACGTTTTCTTGGTGATAAACCCCTTGAAGTTGCTTAAGGAACCCCAAAAAAGAATCAAACATACCCTCTGGTAATTTAACATAGCTATTGAAAATGGCCATTTATAGTGAGTTTTCCCATTTAAAAAGGTGATTTTCAATAGCTATGTTAGTTTACCAGAGGGTATTCCCAATAAATTCTTCAAGTCATGGATTTTCCATTGAGCAACCGCAAATCCGGTTGCTTTGTAAACCCAATTTTCATACCCTCTGGTAATTTCTTCCAGTTTGCTATTGAAAATGGATCTTTTTGAAATAGTTGATTTATCCATGAAAAATGATGGATCTTTCCAGTTCGTTTTCTGGGACAGTTTACCAGAGGGTATACCATAATTATGGGGATATTATAATCATGAAATAACAATTATTATAATAACAATTATTATAACCATCATATAACCATTAATCATTACATAACCACTACATAACCATCATTATAATCATTATTATACCCTCTGGTGAACTAACATAGCTATTGAAAATAGCTATATAACCATTATATAACCATGATTATAACCATAGTTTCCCATTATTATTATCATTATAACCATTAATTATGGGGATATTATAACCATTATACAACCATTAAAAGTAGTGATTTTCCATTATTATCATTATAACCAATATGATTATTACCATTCTTATAACCACAGTGTTTCCCATGCTTATAATATTATATGTATGAACTATATGCTTATATTAAATCATATTTACCAGAGGCTAACCATATCAATTTGAGCTACGGACGAAACTCCTGGGATTTCCCCAGCGATTTCCCTCCGATCTCCACCTGCCGACGATCTCCAGCGTGGCCGCGTAAGTCAAATAACCTGGTGGATCCCTAAGGGAAAACCCCATGGGAAATCTATACTGGTTGGTGGTTTTAACATGTTTTAACCATCTTGAAAAATGATGGAGTGAGTAACAGTTGGGGTGATGAAATTCCCAATATATGGTTGGTGGTGCAATAACCATTGGTAGTTAACCATCATTGGTGGTTTTAACCATCATTTATATCATATGGATGTATTATCCATCATTATGGTAAGTTCTTCCAGTTTGCCATTGAAAATGACCATAGAAATACTGTATTGGTGGTATACCTACCCCTCTGAAAAATATTGGTCAGTTGGGGTTACTATTCCCAATATATGGAAAAATAAATTAAATGTTCCAAACCAACCAGTATAGGAACATGTGGGAAAATCCACTATCCATGGAGGTTTCTTTCGTTCGCTCTGGGAAAATGTTACTTCGCGGTTTGGATTTTTCTGGGTGATTTTCTGGCCGTTTGATGTTTGATTAACGGGGTGTAACCAGCAATAGATGGGATTTATTGACCACAAAACAAACTGAACACTTGCAATCCCAGGTTTGTGTGGAAATATCTGCTGACATCCCACGGTCTTTCCTCTTGTGCCTCCAAACTGTTTTTATCGGCCTTGGGTTTTGCCTGAAAATATCGAGTCCCAAAATCTACCGTTTCATCATTTTCCCCATGAAAATGATTATGGCGTAAAATATCCCATGATTGGAAACCCATTTGGGGCGCATTTCTTCCACGGCGGGAAAGTCACCTTCCCGCTGCACGCTGGACACTGCATGGTAATCCTGGTACAACTTGTCCCAGTCTCCTGGCAGATTGATCAGCAGATGGTACTGGTGATCTATTGGGTGTTTTTGGAGACTTTGGGAACTATGAGGTACCATGGTAACAATATAATGGTTATATATAATGGAATGGTTATGTAATGGTTATAAGTTATAATTATTATAATATCTCCAAAATTATGATAACTACCCTCTGGTTATAACTGTCCCATAACTATGGAAAGATCCACCATTTTTCATGGGGAAATCCACTATTTCTATGGTGATGTTCCATAGTTATGGGACAGTTTACCAGAGGGTATTGAAGATCTACTGGTGATACAATAGAGGTAAATTGATTTGAATAGCTCTATTTTTTGTAGGTATCCTAGACAGCTATCTAGCTATCTAGTTGTCTAATAGCTATCTTTCTATCTATCTGTCTATCTATCTATTTATCTGTCTATCTATCCATCGTTCTATCTATCTATCTGTTTGTCTGTCTGTCTATCTAATCTTATCCTATTTTATCCTATTTTATCCTATCTTATCCTATCTTATCCTATCTTATCCTATCTTGACCTATCTTATCCTATCTTATCCTATCTTATCCTAATCAATCTATTTATCTGCCGGTCAATCTGTCTATCTATTTATCTATCCATCCATCCATCTATCCATCCATCCATCTATCCATCCATCCATTCATCCATCCATCTACCCATCTATCTATCTATGAGTATCTTTGAGTATCAATAAGTATCTATGAATGAGTATTCATGATTATCCATGATTGTGATTATCTATGAGTATCTATGATAATCTATGGTTATCTATGATTATGCTTGTCTATGAATATCTATGATTTTCTGTGTTTATCTATCTATAAATAATTTGTTTGATTATGTATCTGTGATTATCTGTGCTTATCTATCTTTATCTATCTTTATCTGTCCTTATCTTTCTTTGTCTATATTTATCTATATTTATCTATCTTTATCTATCTTTATCCATCTTATCTATATTTATTGTTATGTCTCTATTTCTATCGTTCTTTATCGCTATCTATCTCTATCTAGATCTATCTATCTATATATATACATCTATCTATCTATATCTAGCTATCTCTATCTATATCTATCTATCTCTATCTATCTCTATCTATCTCTATCTATCTGTCTCTATCTACCTATCTCTATCTATCTATCTATCTATCTATTTATCTATCTATCTATCTATCTCTATCTATCTCTGTGTATCTCTATCTATCTCTGTGTATCTCTATCTATCCCTATCTATCTCTATATATCCCTATCTATCTCTATCTATCTCTATCTATCTCTATCTATCTCTATCTATCCCTATCTATCTCTATCTATCTATCTATCTATCTATCTATCTGTCTACCTATCTACCTATCTATCCATCGATCTATAGTTGGATATAACGGAGGTGTATTGTTGGTTCTATTGGGTATAGCCGAGACAGAATGTTCTATGTTAATCGATCTAATGGAGATCTAATGGTGATCCAATATGAAATAATCGGGATATATGATACATTACATTACATGACCAACACTTTGGAATTTGGGTGTGTCAAAAATGGTGGACGGGCCCATAACCCCCCCAACGGCCAGTAAGGGAAGTTATGAAAACTAAGGAAAATGATGATAAACCAACAGATTTAGGGCTACAATATTTTCAGACAAACCCAATTTGGTGATATTTCATGACACCATCCAAAAACAAAGGATTGAAAGAGGGTGATATACACCAAATGGAGAGTTTTCCATATGAAGATACTTAAATACAATTTGGTGAATTCTATCTTTCCAATTCTTTCCATACATTGCAGTTTTCCAATGGAGAGTTTTGCGCCACTTTCGGACAACTGCAGGCAGTTTACTGATCATCCGGTGATGAACTTCCTCAAAGCTAAAGCGGCTCGCTCCGCAGTAAAGGGATGGTAATGTTGGTAAAGGGATAGTAAACCATCCCCAAATTGACCATCATTGGTGTCATATACCATCAAAACATTGGAGGTTTACTACTGCTTTACTGATATTACGTAAATCCCTAGACTTTTTTTCGAAAGTTCTTCCGTTCTTCCGCGAAAATCCCCAAAAAAACGCTCCGTCGCAAAAAAATCCGACGCCAAGACGCTGAGAGAATTGCCAGAACCATAGGCGCCATTCGCCAAGTTGCCAACCTGGATGATCAAATTGAGCTGTATTTCAATGGAATGGTTTTGTTGGGAAAATCTTAACCGGAAACCATTGTTTTTGACCATCAAATTGATCGGGTTTTCCGGTTTCAATTTTCCCATATTATTGTGAATCACATGAGGTGAATGACACAGGTTGATCATATCCCGATTATTTTTACTGGATGGGATAGGATGATCATTATATTCAAATTATACATATATCATATGGAATATATGGATGTATCATCCATCATTATGGTAAGTTCTTCCAGTTTGCCATTGAAAATGACCATAGAAATACCGTTGTTTTACCATTAAACATGGTGATTTTCCAGTTCGCAACACCGTCAACGTTGACCACTTCGTGTACATCCATGGTATAGATGGCCCATTTATAGATGGTTTACCTATTAATAGCATGGTGGATCTTTCCATGGCGAACTGTTAAATAACCAGATGGTAATTTATTGGTGTAATTACCTGGTAATTAATTGGTGTAAAAAAACCATAGTGAATTACCATATAAATTGGTGTAATTAATTTAAGTATAATTCACTTTTTCTGTTTCCAGCAATGGTAAAAATCGCTCGTAATCCAACTTGATCCACTAATCCACTATGTGTAATCCCTCCTGGTGTAGTCCAACGGTCTGGTGTTTCAACGGCCCCAAAAAAAGGCTCAAATATTTCCAGAACATGGACAGAAACATGTTGAAAAACTATTAAATCAACATGGCATCTACCCGGCCTGGTTATGTCAAACAGTTTGCGAACTTGAAAATGGCCTTTTTGAAATCGTGGATGTTTTCCCATTAAAAATGATGATTTTCCATAGTTTAGGGTAAACGTTTACCAGAGGGTATCATTAATGATGATTTTAACCAACGAAAATTATGATTTAATCTGCAGAAGTGGGACTTGACCCGTACAAGTTTGGAATTCACCCGCAAAACATGATTAATTATCATGGATTGTGCAAAGGTCTTTCCATTTCATGATGAGTTTTTGACATGAGCGTATTCTATCTACTCCATGATGACTATGCATATGTATATATATACACAATTATACACACAATGTGGGTAAAAAAATAATAAACCATCCCCCAACTCACCATAAATAGGTGGTATAAACCATTCCCAAATGGGGTGGTGTATGGCATTGTTCTACCCACATAAAATATCTCTTTGAAACCAAATCAATTCCATGAAACTAGTCTGGACATTTTTCTGCACCTGGATGCCCAAAAAATCCACGCACCGAGCTTCACTTGAGGGGTGGACCCCCCAAATTTGGAGAAGGCTGCTGTAGGTTGCTGAGCAAAATTCATGATGAAATCCGCAATCTCAAATTGTTGACGAAATAAAAGTCCCGTTAGTAGATATATGTCCCGTTAAATCCGATTATATTCCCATTATTTGGAGATAATTCTCCATCAATACTGGTTGAGTTCAACACGACTCTCAGATGTTGATTTCGAAAATGATGAAAATGTCCACTATCCAAGTGACATTCAGAATACATTGACCAGGTCAAATAGTGTTTCTTATAAATTATCATCACATCCCCATGTTTGATGGTTTTATCTCTGTTTTTGATGGTTACATCCCTAGTTTCTCCCAAGGGACAAAGTATTTCATCTCTGGCCTATATACCCTCTGGTAAACATACAAAAAGCTATTGAAAATGGCCATTTAGTTCGTTGATTGTCCCATGAAAAATTGTGATTTTACATAGTTATGTAAACGTTTACCAGAGGGTAGTTCTCATTACTTATCCCTACTATTGGTTCAATCCCTACTATTTTTGCTTGATATTCCCGCTACATCCCTCCCCATTTCGCCCAAACAAAGGATTTCAAGCTGAATTGGCACTGGCTTATACATCCTATTCAATCCAAAAATATCCAGTAGGATTAATGGATTGTTTATCGGTTTAATTAATCCATCTAATCCATTAACTCATTAAGCTCATGAAAACCATCCCCGAATGTTTGATGGTTTTTCATGAGTAAGTTTAACCTCTGATTTTGATCATTGTTGTTAAAAAAAATCCTATGTTTCTCGTCAGCGGCGGATTTTCTAGGTTGATGTTGAGCAAAACATTTGGATGTTGAAAAAATAAATCTCAATCGCCGAAATTCGAAAAAAATATCTGTTTTTCATGGTCAAATCATGTTAAATCCCTAGTTTTTAGCAAACAAAGGATCCTATTGACAAGGAATCCCTATCTGATTTGGGGGGTATACCTATCTTTTCTTTTGTCTGAAAATAGTGTATCCCCAAATTTCATCGTGGCTTAGAAAAATATGTTATCATCAAGTATAACTGGTTGGTGGTTAAAAAACCATCTTGAAAAATATGAAGGTCAATGGGAAGGATGACATCCCATATACTATGGAAAAATAATCCATTCATGTTTGAAACCACCAACCAGATAACCTATTAAATCCCATGAATATCTCCCAAAAACCCATAGGTTTTTGATGGTTTTTGATGGTTTTTGGCGATCCGATGGCAGGCAACGAAGGATTTCAGGTTGATGGTGAGATTCTCCAGATCCGCCGCGTGCACATCCTGGCCGTCACGGATGATGCGCTTCACCTTGTCGTAGATCGCCTTGCGGTGCGACGTTTTTCCGTGGGAAATCGATGGCAAAAAATGAATCGGTTAAATACGATGAAGTGTGATAAAATGTGATATATCACATCTCCAGAAACTTCATCCATGAATTTCTCCATTTAATATGACATGTCATGTTTAAATTGATGAAAATGGATGAAAATGGATGAAATGTGATTTTACTTTTAAAAAAATGAAACCTCCAGAAATGTGTTGATGTTTCATGGACTTTCATGATTTTGAACTGAAAAGTTGGAGGGTTGGACTTCTTTTAGAGGGTACCCAGCCCGGCCAAAGGGTTGGTCCCCCCAATCCTTGTGGAGATAGTAAAGAAAACAGCTGGATAAGCCATGCCATTTATGCCATTTTACATACATCCAACATGCTGCAACTATCATACTAGCTCGTCCCATTCATTGTTTTTCCATGGTTTTCCTATCGTACTTTGCGTGGTTCTAATGTTTTCCCCTAAACCATATAAAGGTCCCTATCTATGTCTATGAATACACTGGTTGGTGGTACACCTACCCCTCTGAAGAATATGAAAGTCAGTTGGGAGGGAGTATTCTTCCCAATATATGGAAAGTCATAATCCAAATGTTCCAAACCATCAGCCAGTGTTTAAACACGGGTTTTACCATGTTTTACCTATATAAGTACATCCAACTCCTCAATGTGTTTGAGGTGTACTCCTCTCCTGCTATTGGTTTCACGGAAAATATGCAGGGAAACCCCTTTTCTCTCGGGGGTAAAGACATGTAAAGACAATGGTTTCCTCCATATGTTCATCGAAAATGGAAGTTGAACCATCAAAAAAAAATGGCATGTTCCGAATTTTCCCCATACCCTCTGGCAAACTAACATAACTATAGAAAATCACCATTTTGAATAGGTAAATCAACAAACTAAATGGGGTATGTTCAATAGCTATTTTGACATAACCAGAGGCTATTTCCGGAAAATCCCACGGTTTCCTCGAAAGGTGAAAAACCAGTGAAAAACCAGTGAAAGGTGTCCCTATCCATTTATTCCAGAGGCTCTTTTTTGGGAGCCAAGAAAACCAGTGCTTCGCCTGTCGCGAGGTTGGTCGACACTTCCGTCGAAAGACCCACACCTCTGGCCCGTCGCAGTTCGTTGGGATCACTCACAAAAATTTCCGGAACAAGTCACCACCGGCCCGACAAAAATTCTTGGTTTCTTATCCTACTTAAAACCCGTTGGGTAATAAACGTGTTAGGTATAAAGAATGAGATTATTATGTATTTCTATTGATGGATAAGGCAATAATTCCTATTTATTTATCCATGTAGTTTGCATTTGTATAAATCTCAAGGTAATCTTCCGCGATAATCTTGAATATCTCCCATGGTCGGGCTCCCGAATTGAATACATCCAATGTATTGAATCAAACATTCGATGCTAAATCAGAGATTGTACCCATATCAACCTAGAAAAATCCCTATGTCTGCTGGTTTTTCCATCCTTGGCTCCCAAAAAATTGGACCCTTTCCTTGGCGTAGTTCTTCATGGATGATCCATGGTTTATGATAAACTTCCCCCCTGGTAAACATACAAAAAGCGAACTGGAAAATGGCCATAGAAATATAGGACATATCCACTAGAAATGGAGGTTTTATATGGGAATTTATGGGAAAATCATGGGAATATATGGGGATACCCTGTCCATAGAAAGTTAGAAAGTTCGTTGATGAATCCCCATAGCATGGAGATGTTCCAATTCGTCATGGGACAGTTTACCAGAGAGTATTTGAAGATAGGATGATATATGAAGATAGTATGGGTTAGTAACGGTGAATAGAATAAAATATCATCAAATTCATAAACTATCTCCATACGAATTGGCCTTGTCTGAAAATAGGATTCCCAACAATCCACTGGTTGATGTTCCCATCTAACAATGGTCATACATGGCCCGTAACCCACCCATTTTCAGATCCCGTACCCATATCCCATCATATCCCATCATATCCCATTGTTTGCCAATACAAGGTGGTGCCCCATAGCTAGCTAATTTGCTTCATGACTCCAAGAAATAGGCGGCTTATTTTGAGGATATGTCACTGAAACAACTCCACCCTGATCAGATAAAAGGTGATCTTTCCACTGTTGGTTACTGTGATCTCCACTTTAGGCCACTTAACTTTAAGCGACAAATGGCCTCCCATCAACCATCATTTATCAATGATGTCTAAAAAGGTTGGTGGTTTCAACCTACCCCTCTGAAAAATATGAGTTCGTCAGTTGGGATGATGAAATTCCCAATATATAGAAAAATAAAAAATGTTCCAAACCACCAACCAGTCTAGAAATGTTGTCCCGATCAAATCCCATATGCGGCTGGGATTTCATTTAAAAATCACAGCCATTAACTCTCTTGCTTCGAAGCTTGGCATGGTCTCATGCTATCCTTGTTGCGCTGCCCAGCAAAATCTTACTGGTGCGTTTTACGCAGGGAATTTTCGGGAATGATCCATAATCACTAGTAATTTTATCATCCCATTCCCATCCATTCCCATCCATTCCCTACTAAGCACCAGTAAGTAATATTACTGTGTTAAAAGGGAACCATAGGGAACCTATCATAGTCTCTGTGGCTTATTCAATCTGTGGCATCCAATTCGACTTTTACCGATGTTCTTTGGTTCAGCGCTATCTGGCTTGAGACTTTGCAGAGGGCAAAAGTTTGTGGCGCAGGTTTTTTGTGTGTTCGGGCAACCGGCTGAACTACCATATATCTGTCTGAAATTGAATAACTTAATCACCCGCCTGCAAATAGCTGAAACTTCTGGCCATGATGGGATCCTTTTTTCCCCAATCCCATCAACCATCATTCCGACCTGGCTGAATCGGCTCAAACCCATCAACCCCTCAACGAACAACCAATGAACAACCAGTGATAATCATTAACTGTTACATACATAGTTGTTTATATACCATATACCATATACCATATACCTATATTGGTTCAACCCCCAGAGGTCAGACTTTCATAGCTCTTCAGCTGCATACCCAAGGTGCTGCAGCGCCATTTCTTCCCTCCACAAATTCAAAGAGGTCCTGAAAGGAACGGATCGCTTGCGCCCAAAATGGATATGTTCTTTGCCTATAATTACAGTAATGGGAATATGGTTTTAATATGTTTAAATCTACAGTATGATACAGTAATATGGGAGAATCAGGTATACTTTACTATGGAAAATGAGGGAAAATCAGCTAAAAAGTTGATTCTTTTTCAGCAAAAATGGGATTCAACCAAGAATCTACCCATCTTTGCTACTAAAATCCCGTTTTTTTCGGGGTTTCCGCTGGGTTCTCCCGGACCTTAAGGAACCCCCGTTGCCGGCGTCCCCGAACGGCGTCGGCGTCCTTGGTGCTGCTGGGCCAATCGAAGCGGCGGAAGATCTCGTCGGGGATCCAGGTCCAGGTGCCAAAGAGCGAGAGGTCAAAAACCACGCCTGGCCGAAAAAAAATCCAGATGGGAATCATTCACTGATCTATCACTGATGTATGATGTATATATATATATATATTAGTGGGTATCCCACTATTCCATTATATCAGTATCTATCACTTATATATAAGATCTTATATATAATATATGATCTATAATATATATATATATCATATATAATATATGAAGGGATAATTGATTGATATAATGGAATAGTGGGATACTGATGAGATGATGGGAGAACTTAGCATCCACCCGATGAGGAGATGATGCGGGGATCACTCACTGATATATTACTTATATATATATATATATGCTATATACATATATTTGAGTAGTTGTGAGAAGGTTATGATGTTGTACTGTTTAAATTATAAAAACTTATAGAAATTACTTGTATATATATATATACACATTATATTCTTTAATCTATAGTGTTATACTGTACATGATATATATATATATACGTATGTCTACTGTAAATTATATGTAACATACATAGTATGCATATATATATATATATGTGGTAAAATAATATATATATATATATATGTATAATAATATAAACACGTATATACACTAATTTGTGGGTATAACCAGCTTAAAACTGCTACTGATATAATGACTGGCTATACCGGGTATACAATCTATGAGCTGAAATGTGATTCACCTCATTGATGGAGCCATGGAAAATCGTGTGCCAAAATGAAAATACTGTGCCACCCAAGGTGCACCAAGTATCCAACTGGTATTTACGACAACCTTGCCATGGCTAATCCTGGATACCTTTCCAAAAAAACCTTGTAGGTCTTTAGTATCTCCCCATGTAAAAGATTTAAACTACGTCAAACTACGTCCAGCCAGTTGCGCTTTATTCACCCAGATCCAGTCAAAAATCATTAAAAATAGTAACAGTAATATGGTAACATCATAATAGTAATATGGCAGTGTGTCAAAACCTTGTACCCCTGGTGAACATCAAAATAGCTGGTAAATGGATGTTCATCCCCCTAAAAATGGTATTAATAGGTATTGATCCATACCCATATAATATGATGGTAATATGGTAACATCCATATTACTATTATGCAAGTCACCAGTTGCTAAAAATTACTCACCCGAAAATTCAGGTTACTTTGGGGATGATTCCTTCCATGATTTCACCCTTTTGGAAAAACCCAGGCATACCCAGGCGCCTAGGTCAGCAGGACGACCAGTATACTCTTGCAACTTGGCTGTGGCTAATCTGGTCCTGGCATTTTAGCCCCAGAACGCGAGAACGCGAGAAGGATGGGGGCGTTGTGCTTGCTTGCTTGCATCAAAAGTCGTGTTTTGGTCAAGCAAAAAAGTAAAATGGGGTGTTAACCAAGAAATATATGCATGAAATTATACACATATTATATATACATATATATATATAATATGATGATTTAACCAAACACGATGGTGTTTTGATCAACAGAACGGGGATCTGACCCTTTTCAAACTCGGATCGAATCATCAACCTCTGGTTGGTGGTTGAGCCCTAGCCCTCTGAAAAATGATGGAGTTCGTCAACGGGAAGGATGACATCCCATATATGAAATGGAAAATCCATTCATGTTTGAAACCACCAACCAATAACATATTGTTTTTTATGAGCCATTTTCAACTAAGTTAACAACTTCTCTAACCACTTGCATGGGTTGGGGTGGGGTGGGCTATTAACGTCTTTTGTACGAAGAACTTCCAACTACGTTACTAACTTCTCTAACCACTTGCATGGAGTGGGGTGGGGTGGGGTGGGGTGGAGTGGGCATGGTCTGGAAACAATTGCTGCATGGTCTGCAAAAATTACATTCCCAACACTTTGTCCTAACAAAGCCGCGATTTACTGCCCTATGCGAAGTCTTGGCAATACCATTATTTGGATGTGTTAGGGCAGTAAATGGTATGTAAACCTCAATGCCATAATATGGTATGCCCTAATATGGTATGTAAACCTCAATGCCATAACTTACAGTTACGAATACCATCGAAGCTTTGAAACGTATCTTCTGACCGGACAAAAGTGCTATTTTTCGGAGTCCACAAAAACCCTCCGATGAAAATGAGCTGTTACTGTGGTCAAACGCGAAAACACCCAAATTTTGGAATCCATTATTTGGATGTGTTCGATGAAAGAAATTCGCGTTTCACCAGTGCCATACTCATGTTTACAAAAAAAAAAACGTGCTTTTACGAGCACGGTTTCCGGTCCGGTGGGTTGTTGGTTTGGCCTTGTTTATAGTGTCTCCAAAATTTGGATATAACATAGCGACTAGCGCTTGTTTTGACCCTCATGGAATCAGATATGGCTGGTTTCAAGGACTTACTGGTGCTTAGTAGGGAATGAGGGAATGATCCACAATAACTATGAATAATAATCCCATTCCCCAATTCCCCCATTCCCATCCATTCCTTACTAAGCACCAGTAAGAGGAACCCTATTTCTACGATAAATTGGAGAATGAGAATCATCCATAAATGGATCATCTACTTTTTGGATATAAATCAGGGGATCTTCATTGATCAAGACACTATGACATTTCCGTCGTGGTTTTCAACCCATCGGCTCCCAGTATCCCATCTCGATTTCTCGGGTCTGATGGAACAAAAATGACAAACCTCGTCCCAGGAGATTGTGGATATGGGTCAAAAATGGATCAAAAATAATCCATTATAATCCCATAAGATGTTTAGGACTAATCACCAAACACCTGATACACCTGTGTTCCCCTCAGACTTCAATCTTCATTGGCATATGAAAAAAATGACAAACATCATCCAACATCATCCAACTAATTATTACCTGGTTGGTGGTATGTATACCTACCCCTCTGAAAAATATATGAGTTCGTTAGTTGGGATGATGAAATTCCCAATATATATATATATATATATTATATTAGATTATATTATATATACAGTATATATTAGGGAAAATAAAATTCATGTTCCTTAAACCACCAAGCAGCTAGTTACGATCTTCTTTTCATCTTGGAAGTGATTTGCCCAGGTTTACCATCTTAGTAAATCCCATGAAACATCCCATGAAAAATAACCCCTACAGGATGGGCCCCCCAGTGATGTGAATGTTGGTTTATAAAACATGGAAAAAAAAACATTAACTAGTTCGTTATATCTACCATAAACCATAGTTGAGCCACTTACAAATAACCCCATGATACATAGCCTAAATAGCCCCAATCGCACAGAAAAATCAAATTGCCCAAGTGAATCCCGTCCCAATACACCCCCAAAGGAAACCATGGCTTAGCAGGGAATGAAACCTTCTATTTCTGCATCCATCTTTGGGGCTGTTTAATATTACCCTCTGGTAAACTAACATAGCTATAGAAAATGGACCATTTAGTTCGGTGATTTACCTGTCAAAGATGGTGATTTTCCAGTTCGCTATGTAAACGTTTACCAGAGGGTAGTTACCATAATTATGGAGATATTATAATCATTCTAACCATTACAACCATTATATAACCATTCCATTATGTATAACCATTATATTGTTACCATAATTATGGGGATATTATAATCATTATATAACCATTATTATTACCATTATTATAACCATTATATAACCATAGTTTCCCATTATTATTATCATTATAACCATTATACCATGGTACCTCATAGAAACCCCAAAGTCTCCAACTGTTCTGCTTAACTCGCCCAAGTCTCCACCCATCCCCATCAAAACTCACGGTGTTTACCGGTCAGGCCATCCGTATTACCCTCCAGAAAAAAAAAAGAAAAAACGTGGCAATTGAACATCCACCATTTATAGTTCCATTCTTAGATGATGTTCTATTATGTTCTATTAAACCCTGCATTTACAAAGGATTTTCCGGCCACAGTTGACTAGCACTATACCACCTTTAGCCAGATCGTTATACCTCCATTTTTCTTGCTCAAATCCAATTTCTTCATGGTTTACCTACCATCTGGTTATTCAACACAGCCATGGAAAATCCCTTCCATAAATGGAGGTTTCTAGCTGGGAAAATCATCTATTTCTATGGGCCATCGAAAAACCATGGCGAACTGTTAGTCATAACCAGGCCGGGTAAATCACCATTAATTCACTATTAGCCATTAATAACCACCATTAACCACCATTAACCACCATTAACCACCATTAACCACCATTAACCACCATTAAATCCCACAGTAATCACACCTTCCCGTCATTTCAGAAGCCCCTTTCAGAGCCGGGTCACATGTTCTTGATCAAAGTGCCTGGGTCCCTGGAGTGATAGACCTCGCGCTGGAAAAAAAACCAACCGAGTGTGGATATGTCCATAGTGGATATGGGGATAAAATCTGTGGATATGATAGGTTTATAACTCCAATAACTATGGTTTATGGTACGCAAATAACTATAGTTACTGGGGCTTATAAACCAACTAACATCACTGGGGGGCCTCACATTGTAGGATATAGTCATATAATTGTGTTGTATACATAGATGTGTATATATATAATTATATAACCATATAACCAGCCATATATGGTGTGTCTAAAAAAAACTGCTGGATTTACCTGCAATCTATGGCCAGTGGCTATGGTGGTAATGGCACTGCTTACCCAACGGTTAGATGCCACCACCATTGAGGGTGGGACCTCAAAATTTGGAACCCCCGTCCATTGCATATATGGTTTATCGACATATTCCATTGTTCCCCCTTCGAATTGCAATTCTTGGACAAACACATACATCCCCATATGATTGGGTATATCCCTATTGTATCCCAGTATATCAGCATTAACGTTGGTAGTTCAAGCCCATTACATGCCATAACAAAAAGATATGTGATCACTCAATCCCAATTGGATCCCAAGAATCCCATAGAAAATTCTTCAGTCAGCCATATGGTGCTTTCCATAAATTGGGATACCCAAAAAATGGATGATTTATAATGGAAAATCCTATCGAAATAGATGATTTAGGGTACCCCCATGGTTTGGAAACCTCCATATCCATTTGGCTTTGAAAATAAAAAAACGGGTACCGCCGTACAAATCCGGTGGTTCATGATGGCTATAGCCTCCACCCACTACAGTGGGCAATGTTGCGGTTGATAGGAAGCCCCAATAAGACCAATAAGAGATACCCTCTGATAATTTAACATAACTATGGAAAATCACCATTTAATTAGGTAAATCAACTATTTCTATATATTTCTATGGCCATTTTCAATAGCTATGTTTGACATAACCAGGCCGGGTATTTCAAGTTCGAAATCGCCATTTAGTTCGTGATCTTTCCCATGAATAGCATGGTGATGTTCCATAGTTACCCTCTGGTAAACTAACATAACCATGGAAAATCATCATTTTAATAGGTAAATCAACTATTTCGACTGGGCCATTTGCAATAGCTATGTTTGACATAACCAGAGGGTATGTTAGCCCGTTTACCAGGCCGGCTACAATGGCTCTGATGGTCACTGGATGTCACTTCCCCGTCAAACATTACCGAAAAGTTCGTGCTGGGATCCGTCCACCTTAAACGGCCAACAAAAAAAAACGTGCTGGTTTAACCTCTGGTTATGTCAAACATAGCTATTGAAAATGGCCATTGAAATAGTGGATTTTCCCATTAAAAATGGTGATGTTCCATAGTTATGTGAAATTACCAGAGGGTAACCTCTATCATCTCTCCCTTATCTTCCCATGACCACAGCAATTTGTTTACTGGTTGGTGGTTTAAAAACCATCTTGAAAAATGATGGAGCTCGTCAATGGGAAGGATTATCTATCCCATATATTATGGAAAATAATCCGAATGTTTGAAACCACCAACCAGTTAATATCCCCATCGATCAGATAGATCCATGATGTATTGCAGTGATATTCCGGTGACATCCCCACTATATCCCCATGTAGATATGGTTGACCCCCTACCCGCTGGTTAATATCCCCATCAAAAATATGCATCACTATATGCATATACTATTATATATAATGTCAACCCTGGATTAATAAACCCCAAACGGCTGTTTAATTGGGAGGGTACCATTTAAGTATCAGATAATGACTATTGGAAGAGTACCCCCCCAATTAATAAACCATGACATTATATATATAAATATATATATATATGGATATATATATATATATTGTTCATCCCGTTCCCCATAAAGTGAGACCCATTTCCATCAAATGGCGTCCACATATTCCCATGATATTTCCATGAGATCCCCGTAAATAAGACCCATAAATCAGATGTGCCATGGTCAAAATATGCTATATGGTTATGCGGTCATGCTCATCCCTCCTATAAATGGGAAAAACCTGAGAAAAATTGTAGATTAATCCGTATGAAAAGTGATGATTCCCATCCCCCAATACGGGAAAATCCATCCAGGTGGTTCAAACGAACATCGATGTCTGATTGCTTGAATCCCAAGTATATCATAATTATCATATCCTACAGTATATATTCCCATATATATTCCCATATATTCCCATATATTCCCATACATATTCCCATATATATATATTCCCATATATATTCCCATATATTTTCATATTTACCCCAAGGAAAGCCATGTTTTCACCATGCCACAGATCCTAGCTCCGTCCTCACCACTTCTCGCACCAAGGCGCCGTGCAATCCATGTCCGAGGTGAGTAGCTTCGAGCCGGGACAGGTGATGTCCTTGGATCCAGAAGTTGTACCCTCTGGTAAACATACAAAAAGCTATTGAAAATGGCCATTTATAGTGGATTTTCCCATGAAAAATGGTGATTTTCCATTGCTATGTTAGTTTACCAGAGGGTAACTGATTTTAGTGTGGTTGTGCGCAGAACTTAGGGGAATCTGTGTATTGATTTAGGAGTGTTAGTTGACATTTATGAAATAATATGACTGTTATAGAATAAAATCGATATTGTGTAGTTGACCCATGAAAATGCTGGGATGCTGGGACAATCACCAGTGTTTTTTTTACCCTCTTTCCATTCACTTGGGAATTTCATGATCCCAACGAAGCTCCTTTAACTCCATCATTTTTCAGAGGGCGTGGGAAGTGTGATTGCTGTATAGCAAATTCTTGGTATAGTGATTGGTTCATTTGCTATTTGGTACCCTGTGGTAAACTAACATAGCCATGGAAAATCACCATCTTTAATAGGTAAACCGGTAAACCATTTATTTCTATGGGCCATCTATACCATGGCCATGTTAGTCATAACCAGAGGGTAGTTATCACTGGTGATTTCTATGGGATTATACATTCCAGAAATGGAGTTGTAAGTACTTATCTGGTTGGTGGTAGTGAAATTCCATACAAAACTATGATTTACCCATGAAAAACGGTGTTTTTCAATAGTTATGTTAAATTACCAGAAGGTAAATCAATATGTGGATAAATATAGCTGGTTGGTGGTAAAAAAAACATCTTGAAAAATATGAGTTCGTCAATGGGAAGGATTATCCCATATTAGGAAAAGTAAACCAAATGTTTGAAACCACCAAACCAGAAATGCTGGGATGCTGCGACAATGAGCAACAAAATATAGAATATATGGATTTAACATGATGACAAACAAAATATGTGTGATGTAATCACTGGAATTAACCAAGAAAAATATGATTTTGCTTCGATTTAGCCAACAAAACATGTGATCTAACATGATTTGAACAATAAAAAACACGTGATTTCACGTGATTTAACCACCAAACATGGTGGTTTAACCAGAAAAAATGGGGGATCTTACATGTTTCTAGTATCAATATGGTGAGGATAGCTCCAACTGGCCATGTTTTGTTGGGAATATGGATCCCCCGGGCTCCGAGACTCGCTTCTTCCTGACAAAAATTATTGGGAGCTTAACCCGCGAGAATCGGGAATTTAGCCCGAATGGATGACGATTGAAGCAAAACATTGGATTTACCCTCGATTTACATATGGTTAATATATGGCTAATATATGGTTAATGATGGTTAATAATGATTACCATCTGGTTATGACTAACATAGCCATGGAAAATCCCCAAAATAAATGGAGGTTTCTAGCGGGGAAAATCATCTATTTCAATAGGCCATCTATACCATGGCTATGTTAAATAACCAGAGGGTAGCTGACAGCAATTGGGAATTGAATCCGAAAAAAATGGGATTCAAACATAAAATCAAAATCGAACAACGATGTCACAAGTAAAAATCGGAGGCAACTCGCTCGTAATCCCAAAAAAAAAGTGGAACATACTCGGGATTTGACAAATCCACTTGAGTAAGCCAATGGGCCAAAGGAACTGTTGGACTACAAAGCTCCAGCACTGCCACGGGGAACATTGTCTACGAACTGGCATAGAAAGTTCCAGTGATGCTTGCAGGTTTTAAACTTCCAAATGATTAACATTGAACAAAACAAATACCATCTGGTTATTTAACAGCTCGCCATGGAAAATCACCATTTTATAGTTCGGTAAACCATCTATTTCTATGGGCCATCGAAAAACCATGGCGAACCGTCAGCCATAACCAGAGGGTAATATCATAAAGATGGTCTTCACATGGGAAATTGCCAACATTTTTTGTTCCCCATCTGGGGATTCCTAGGGATCAAAATGATCAAACCCCCAGCTGCTCCGGCACTGGTCCCCTGCCGATTTCCATGTGCGGATAGCTCTCCGCACGCAAAGCTTGGTTGCAAAAACACCGCTGACTTTGTATCTTGTTGTGGCTAAAACCAAAAAAAAATTACCCATGCTATCATGCTATCCCTCTGTGACTCATTGATTTTAAGTGTTTGATTCAGCGAAATCTCATCCAACAAATCCCCAACAGGTGTTTCGGTATCCCCGTTGGATCCAAGGGTCGTAGGCCTTACAAACCTGGCTCAAACACCTAGGGTCCTCCGGCGTCCTGGGCGTATCCAGGATCAAGGGAGTGGTTTGGTTGGGAAAATCTGCAAAAAATGATGGTTAATAGTGGTTAATAGTGGTTAATGATTGTTTTTTTAACAATCTTACTTTACTTGCTGGTGCTAAACGCAGGGAATGGATGGGTTGCTGGGGGTTGCTGGAATGATTATTGAATATTATTGATAGTTAGCCAGTGGATCATTCCCGAAAATTCCCGTCTAAGCACCAGTAAGAAAACTATGGATTTTCCGCTGAATCTGTGGACAAAAAATCTCAGATATTGGATGGGTTCAACTCCCATCTTCTACCAAATCTCTAAGGCGGATGTGCCAAATTCAATCAAAAAAAGGCTCTGTTGGAAAATTGTCTATCCCCAACAGATTCCAAAATCCCATGGTTGAGAAATCTGTTTAGTCTTTGCTAGCCAGGGGCATAGGGGCATCGCCATTTTTTAACACACTCATCTAGGTATGACAATCCCAAATTTCACGTGTTGAGAAATGGCAGTTCAAATGGGGGAACTCTTTGTAAATGATGGGGCGGTTGGAGGGTGTCCAAATTTTGAGACAAGCCCAAACAGTAGGATGCCAACGGACACCAAATTGTTTTTTCCTGTATATCAGCATCTCAAGATGTGATTCAAGAATTTTGAGCTACACTTATCTGGTTTATTCGATTTCTATTACCAGCACTGGAATAATTACTGGGCAAAGTAGGGATATGATGGGACTAAAAAGCATTGTATATCAAAATCAAACATAAAGAAACTGGATGGATCATCATCAAACAACCTGAAGCCTTTGATGATTTTGGGGAGCTTCTCCATGATGATGTTCGAGGCAGATTCGTTTCGAAACGACAAGCTGCATCTATGATCAGTACCGATTTCAATAACTAGTACCCTCTGGTAGACTATCATATCAATGGGAAATTCAGGAACCTAAATTGGAGGTACCTACCATATATAAAGCCTATGTAAGGGCTATGTAAGGGGATATCCCCACAAAATATGGCCTTATATGGTACAGTACCTCCATTTTAGGATCCTGGAATTCCCATTGATCATACCTATGGAAAATCACCATCTTTAGGTAAATCAACGAACTAAATGTGCCATTTTCAATAGCTATACTGTGGGTGAAGTGATCGGACCCACCATACCCAATGACTTCCCAGAATTATGCTTGGTACCTTCTGGTTAATTGTCAGTTTTTGGCTATGGAAAATAAATGGCCCAGTGGAAATCGTTGATTGTCCCATTAATAGCATGGTGGATCTTTCCATCGTTTTTTGTATGTTTACCAGAGGGTATCCCCATATCTTCCCATGATTTTCCCATAAAACCTCCATTTTCCATCGCTTTTTCTATGTTTACCAGAGGGTACCACGAAAATATGGCTGGTTTATGATTGGGGCCCCCCCAGTGATGTGAATGTTGGTTTATAAACCATGAAATAACCACCATGACAACTATAGTTCGTTATATCTACCATAAACCATAGTTAATTCAACCACTTATATATAAGGCAACTGAACGCTATCCAACGGGGGCCCCAAAATCATGTGTGGTTTATGATTGCTTTTCCAACCGATCGGCCGAGTAGGATTCAGTACCAGGAAATCTCACGAAAATGGAGCTGGATAAACCGCAGGGTGTTTGCGGCGCGGCGAAAGAAACCCCTTCTTGTTGCAGCTAACATCTGTCTTTCTCCTGATAAACACCCGTGATATTTTTGCTGGTGAATGCCAATTGTCCTTCGTAAACTAGCAGTTTCTTTCTGTGAAAAATCCAGTGGTTGATCACCATGTTCAGACGCAGAAAAAAGCAGCAGATTCTTGATTATTCATTAAATACGATAATAGCCCATGAAAAATCCCACTAGTATCTCCATGACATGCCACTATAGTCTCAATATATCTGAATTACCCTCTGGTAATTTGTTACATAGCTATTGAAAATGGCCATAGAAAGTTCGTTGATGAATTCCCATTAATAGCATGGTGGATATTTCCAGTTCGTTTTCTGGGACAGTTTACCAGAGGGTATATTCCATGGAATATGGGGATATTATAATCATTCTAACCATTATTATTACCATTATTATCACCATTGTATAACCATAGTGTCCCATTATTATTGCCATTATAACCATTAATTATGGGGATATTATAACCATTATATAACCATTATATAACCATTATATAACCATTATATAACCATTATATAGCCATTATATAACCATTCTATAACCCATGGGAATGGGAATATCCCCATCATATCCCCCAACAGTTTCTCGCTTATCCATCCAGTGCGAGAAATGACGACATGGCGTGGCTGCTCTCTCCCAAGGGTCTGCAGGTGCCGGGCGCAGCAGAAGGTATGCCGCATGAACTTTTCCTCAGCAACGAAAAACATCCGTTACGTCCGTGACGGGATGCATGAATAAAACGCACGGTGATATGGAGAGGTATCTGAAAACGGGATGTCTCTCAGCTGGAAATCTACCATTGGATATTTGAGATACCATTGAAAATATACCATGGTATTGAAAAATGCGGTAGAAAATGGTATTTGATGCTTTCATTGAATGGGAAAATGATCTAGCATTGGATTTTTGGGGTCCACATTTTAGGAAACCTCCACAGAGGTTCGCGCAGAACGGCAAATCACTTTATCATCAGTTTACTCGTTGCCCAGAACTTCAAATATGGTTCTTGATGTGTTCTATAATTTCCTGTAATTTGGGTAAATTGTAGCCTTTGAGTCAAACCTGTCCTTTGTGATAACGGACTTAGCAAACCTATCCTGGGAGGAAGCATTGGGTTGTGTACCCGCTGGTAAACTAACATAACTATGGAAAATCATCATTTTTAATGGAAAAATCCACTATAAATGGCCATTTTCAATAGCTATGTAACAAATTATCAGAGGGTAAGTGGCTTATCCTTAGAGGTATACCCCATTCTCAGCCGCGCCCATTCAAATAAGAGTGACAGTCGATTTTCTGGCTGTTGGTTCACCAACCACCAACCATCCAATACCCTCTGCTTACGTCAAAATAGCCATTGAAAATGGTGATTTATAGTGGATTTACCCATTGAAGATGGTGATTTTCCATAGTTATGTTAGTTTACCAGAGGGTAATAATCATTTTTGCAATTCAATAATAGAACAATGATTGGTGAAAACACTCAGAGTTCAATTGGATTATTCTCGGGAGGTTATAGATAATCATAGGTCATGGTGTGTCATTGTTTTTTGGACAAGTTACACTTAGATTATCCAATTGGAAATGGAGGTTAACTAACCACAATGGGGATAGAATGGGACATACCCTCTGGTAAACTGTCCCATAACTATGGAAAATCACCATTTTTAATGGGTAAATCCACTATAAATGGCCATTTTCAACAGCTATGTTAGTTTACCAGAGGGTACCCTTCGGTTTTTTGAGAGTTTGCTATGGAAAATTACAGATGTGCCATGGTCAAGTTACACGGTATCTGGGTTGTGGTCCAGGGCTTGGCAAATGTCCTTTTCTCAAAGATCATCCAACTATATAATCTTTGGATGTTATCTCCAAGAAATTCTCGTTTCAGGTCATCTCGATGATCATCCCGCACCTGTTGACTATGGCACCGTCATGGGGGTAGTTATATATGGCCTTTACATCTGGTGGTTTTAGTTACCCTCTGGTAAATTAACATGTACCCTGGCAGATGGGGCTTGGAAGACTAGTGAAACCATTAAAAATGGGTGATTTTCAGGGTCGAACTGATTATTTACCAGAGGGTACAAGGCTGATTCATGATGATCTAAATTTCTAGTTTGGGGTACCCATTTACCACCGACACACATACCCATACCGTTTGGGCGCAAAAATATCACAAAATTCCAATCGGGGGTTAGACTCTAACCATTTTAAATAGATGTTTGTGTCATGGGATATATCACCCATCACGTGGGGCCCGTGGGGTTCCAAATCGTTCGAGGATATCCGGCTTTCACAAAAAAAAAAAAACATATGGAGGTAGTCATGTGGGCAAACAAAACGGCCAAACAAAACCAGCGAAAAGAACAATGAGTAGATGACCAAACATCTCCGTTTTACCATTAATGTTCAATGATTAGAAAACTATGGAACCATATAATATGTCGTATGTTAATCATGACCATGACAAGAAAACTATGAATATATATATATGTATATATATATATACATATATATACATATATATATACATATATATTGTTACCATAAATATGATAGAAAACACATGGGAACCACTCCAATTTATCTTCTTTCAACATGTCGGGTTGGTTGGGGACCATCCCCATGGGATTTTGGCAATCTCAGATGATCAGTCCAGAGCTTTCCTGAGTAGGGGGCTACCTCGAAATCATTCCAGAAATATTTTCGTTAATGGTTTATATATGGTTAATATACTGTTAATATACTGTTATTATACTGTTAATAGATGGTTAATGATCTTGAATAATATGGTTGTTAGTTATCACTGGTGATTTCTATGGGATTATACATTCCAGAAATGGAGTTGTAAGTATGACATCTGGTTGGTGGTTGAGCCCAACCCTACCCCTCTGAAAAATGTGACTGAAAGTCAGTTGGGATGATGAAATTCCCAACTGAATGGAAAGTCATAATCCAGTTATGTTCCAAACCACCAACCAGATCCATGTGATGATTCGGATTTTCCACGATCAAACAACCATCTAACGGATCATCCAACCATTAGGATTTCCCGTTGAACCCCCAAGTGGTTTTTGACGCAACCTGCCCAGAAAAACGATGAAAAACGACTGCAACGAAGTCTCTCTAAAAGCACCGTAGTGCTTCATGGGCCTCTGACAGATCTGCGTGGATTGGGTGCAGGTACCTTAATCAGCTTGCGCGAGCGATCGGCACGAGCCATGGTGCTTGATTGTTGGTGAAGAACGGGGAGTCCCATAATGGTTTATCATGGTGAATAATGGGTTATAAAATGTTATAAATGATAAATATGGTTACTAACTATTAACTGGGGTAGTTATGTATATATATACATATACAAATATATTTATATCATAGTATATATACATTATATAGGACTCCCCGTTCTTGGATGATGAAATAATCCAATGAAAACTGAGGATACGAAGATACCGTACCTATCTGTACCTCATTCTACCGTGCCAGTTCACTTGATGTTAAATCCCTCCACCATAATCATAGGATATCGTTCTTGGTAGTGTATCCCAATAATATGACGATGTTTTTCAAATATATAGGGAATATCCCAGGATAATATAAAGGGAATATCCCAGGTACTACCTTCTGGTAAACGTTTGCATAACTATGGAAAATCAACATGTTTAATGGGTAAATCAACTATGTCTATTGCCATTTTCAGCAGCTATGTTTGTTTACTAAAGGGTATATTCCCAAACATATTCCTATTGTACCCGGTAAATCCAACATGGCTTGCTGGATACTCCCCCAAAGTTCCCGGTGATTTGCGGCTAGCCATGGGAGTTGCCTGAAAAAAGTGACTACAAAAAATCAGTGCTTTATGGTGGATATAACTATACTATTCATGGAGCTTATGAATAATATACATATATAATACTTATATATTATATTATACATATATATATATATATGCACATATACATATATATATATATGTATACTGTATGTGTATATATATATATTATCTATCCCATGGCCATGTTTGAAGACACCGTTGCGGGTAGATGGCATGGCACGGTTGGGTTCCCAGTATATTTGTCCATCCAAAGTCTTGGAAAATTCCTCCGAGCTCTACAAAAATTGGGGTTCTCTGAAGAATTAGGGTGACGACTGGAGCATTAAAAAAAATTAATGCCTAGATACTAGTTATGGCCATAGATATTAGTTATCACTGGTGATTTCTATGGGATTATAGATTATACATTCCAGACATGGAGTTGTAAGTACTTATCTGGTTGGTGGTATACCTACCCCTCTGAAAAATAGTAGTCAAATGGGATGATGAAATTCCCCATATATGGAAAAATAAAAGCCATGTTCCAAACCACCAACCAGCTATACTTGGAAAATCCTCCCACTTATAGTAACTGGTGGCTCCCTAGGACTATAACCCCTCTCGGGGGACTTATCAACCAGGGCAAGTCATCAGTTGCTAAGTTAGATCCTACAACCCATTCAGAGGACAAAGGACGGAGCCTTAGAGCCTCCAATTTTTCTTCGGAGAAGTCCATCCTTGTAATGAATCTGCTTGGTGGTATACCTACCCCTCTGAAAATATGAGTTCGTCAGTTGGGATTATTCTTCCCAATATATGGAAAAATAATCCGAATGTTAAATTGCAGCTATGTTAAATTGCAGCTATGGCCATAAATATTAGTTATCACTGGTGATTTCTATGGGATTATAGATTATACATTCCAGAAATGGAGTTGTAAGTACTTATCTGGTTGGTGGTATACCTACCCTCTGAAAAATATGAGTTCGTCAGTTGGGATTATGAACTTCCCAACTGAATGGAAAGTCATAATCCAGTTATGTTCCAAACCACCAGAACATAATATTTTTGAATTTCCCTTAGATTCTTTTTTTTCATCGACCTGCACTGCAAGGAACTGTAGGCTCGCTTCATCATATCCCAATCCCAAACCTTCCATTCCTGCCATGGCATCATGGCAGGGGAAGGGTTTCGCCGGTTTCGCCAAAAAAAAATGGTGGGTTTTCACCAAACACTAATCATTTGCAAAATGGTGACTGGGTTAGAGGGTAACTTCACCAAAAAATGGTGGGTTAGAGGGTTTCGCCAAATCATCAGATTGCAAAGTTACCCTCTAACCCAGTCACTCCATCAATAACGCTTCACTTCGATGATTCTCCCCATGATGTTCTCCCCAAATTCCTACTGGTGCCATTGGATAATGTTCTCCCAAAATTCTTACTGGTGCTTATTTGGGAATGGGGGAACGGGATGATGCTTACTAGTTATGGATTGGATCATTCCCCCTTTTCGATCCTTTCCGTACTAAGCACCACTAAGACTGTGCCATGCTGAAGCCTCCATGTTTGTGCTGTTTGTTTGCGAAGATCACAGGAGGAAAACGGCTCTATTCCCAACATCAACGAGACAAATGTGGGTCGCAAAAAAAAATGATTCCTCAGAGAAATGGGAATACAACCACTAATGGTGAGGAAAAAAACATGATACCATTTGCTTATTTAACATAGCCATAGAAAATCCCTTATAAATGGAGGCTTTAATGGGAGATTCATCTATAAATGGGCCATTTTCCATGGCTATGTTAAATAACCAGAGGGTAAGCCAATTTTGACTTACCAACTTGCTAAAGCCACTCACCAGGTCCCTTCTTCCCCGCCCGTCTCCTCATGGGTTTCTTTTCGCCATGACTTGAGGAAGTCTTGAATCGTCGTGTCTAAAGCCTCAAGCGGTTGCTGCTGGGAATCGCCCTGGGACATCATCACCCCAAGATCAATGGCCATTTCAGGAACCTAAATTGAGGGTACCTACCATATATAAGGCCTATTTTTCAGACCTATGTAAGGGAATATCCCTAGAAAATAGGCCCTTATCCCAAGATCAGATAAAAATTTGGGTATCAACCCAGAAAACCTCGGTTGATCCTGGTGAAAGGAGCAGTGGCAAAATCGCAACCTTCAACCGTTGTCAGAAACCTGGGAAAGACCTGATCCAGTTGGGGGTCTTTGGTGTTTGGTCGAGAGGCCGCACAGTGGTCCATGTCAACCATGCAGTGGGAGGAGAAATACTGCGAAATCTCCTGGGCGAGCACTCAAAAGTGATGAGAATTGTTCGGAGGATATAATATAAGATAATATACATATGTATATATATATATATACATATACATATTATAGTTTGTATTATATATATATATATCAAATATATACATATGTATATAATTGTATATATACATATATATAATCATATTACATACTGTATGTAGTATTAAATATAATATTATATATAATACATTACATTACTTATAGTATATTATATATATACTGTATATTAAATATATAATATACTGTATATGTAATATGATATATATATATATACAGTACATATAATATTACATATATATATATATACATATATCAAATAGATTATATATTATTATATTGAACATATTATAGAATACTGTATATATATATATGTTATATTATATATAATTAAGATTCTGTTGGTATTGGGTGTATGTTTGGCGAATGCACAATTCCGCAAAGAATATGTTATGAACACCATTTTTATGATGATGATGATGATGATGATGATAACGATGATGATACTTTGGATTATGCAACTACAACCCAGTAAAATGGCGATGAATGGAGTTGAAATGAGCAGCAATGATTGTTATTAATATGGTCCATGTGGAAAAACGCAGGATGGAAAAACCTGGGAAAGAAAATAGTGCGTATATTATATATATACACTATATACCCTCCGGTTATTTAACATAGCCATGGAAAATGGTCCATTTATAGATGGTTTACCTATTAAACATAGTGATTTTCCATGGCTATGTTAAATAACCAGAGGGTATATCCACAGGATAAATATGGAAAAACACAGACCAAAAATGAACCAAATGGAAAAATGTCAGTGCGAATCGTGTATCCATTGCTCATACCATTGGGTGTGGACCTCCTTACGAAAAAGAAATGCGGCCGGGAAGAGAATTACCCCCAAACATCGACGATTTTTGCAGAAAATCTGGGGGATTTCCTAGGAGCAAGCCTGGAAAATTGAGTTTCCCGCTTCTCTGCTGGTTTCTCTTGGCAAAATAGAAATGTATCAAGTTTTGAGGATGAAGATGATCATATCCAAGTCACATGAGTAGATACCCGGCCTGGTAAACATACAAAAAGCGAACTGGAAGCCATGGCCCAGTCGAAATTCCGTGGATTTTCCAATGAAAAATGAATGGTGATTGTGATTTTCCAGTTCGCTATGGGACAGTTTACCAGGCCGGGTATCCCCATATATTCCCATTATTTCCCCATAAATTCCCATCTAAAACCTCCATTTCTAGTGGATATGTCCTATATTTCTATGGCCATTTCTAGAGGGTCATCATATCACGGTAAAAATATGGCCTTCGGGATTTCTCGTAGGACTTCGGGTCAGCAACTTCCCCCAGAAACGTTTGATGGAAGCCAGACACGTTTGATTCTGGTTGGTGGTATACCTACCCCTCTAAAAGATGATGGAGTTCGTCAGTTGGGATGATGAAATTCCCAATATATAGAAAAATAAAACATGTTCCAAACCACCAATCAGGATTAAATCTCATTCATATCCATTATTTATTGGTTAAATCCTACAGTATTGAAGACCATGAAAATCGTTGGTGAAATCGCCGTTGTTGCCATGTCAGACATGTCACGTTGGGAGAGGCCGCGTTGTGACCGTCGTCGCGGGTCGTCAGCTGCTTCAACCAACGATTGGCACCTGATCATCGCAGCCATGGCCGGTGAATGGATGTGAATCAACATGAAGAAACCCCCAAATATGATAGTCATAGGTTTTGACCCATACCCATGTGTATGTATACTGGTTGGTGGTTTCAACCCCTCTGAAAAATATGAGTTCGTCAGTTGGGATGATGAAATTCCCCACTGAATGAATGGAAAAATAATCCAATTCTGTTCCAAACCACCAACCAGTTACTATATTTCTTTCATCTTGGAAGTGATCCTTGGGTTTACCATCTTGTAAATCCCACAATCCCATGAAAACTAACCCCATATGTATATATATATATATACATACATACATATATGTATACTGTATATATATATACAGTATATGGGTTTCCTGTATATAGGGGAGACCCCAAAAGCATCCAAGCTACTGGTATCAATGGAAAAAACCATGGTTTAGGGAAGCTCCATGTAGCAGACCATTGCTTTCCAAGATGACAAGAGCTGAGATGTTTGAATGCGTTTTTTGGGAATCTATGGTTAGTAATATGAGAACAAGTGAAGAATGTAAGGGAAAAAATCGACAAGAATTGGGAATATGGAATATGTATGGGAATATATGGGCTAAACCCAAAAATAATGGATACATGTTAAACCCCAGAATTTGCTAACCCCCTTGAGCTGTTGATCATTCGGGAAGTAGCATTTTAGTCAAAGATTATATCACTAATTTGGTACCCTGATTTTGAATCAACCACGGTTTATTAATCATAGTTGACTCAAAATAATTTGACTCAAAATAACTAATATTGAATCACTAATTTGGTACCCCTAATTTGGTAGCTTTGATATGTTTCGTATGTTTTCGTTGAAACTGGGGAGCAACTCCCCAGTTTGAAAATGAGAGTTCTGCGGACAACTGAGCAACGGAAGTAAACCGGTTACTCTTTGATATACCCTCTGATTATTTAACGTAGCTATAGAAAATCACCATTTTTAATAGGTAAACCATCTTTTTTCTATACCATGGCTATTTTGACATAACCAGAGGGTATATAACTCTAGTCTAATAGGGGCCCCATATCCCAACTTATGGGCTTGAGTGATAACCAGAGAGTTATACCCATCAAAGGAACCAGGAAAATTCGTAACGCAAATCCGTAAAGAATCACGGCTTATGGAGCACCCACTCATTGATAGCTTCTGGAACGCCAGCCTTTTGTTGGATTGTTACTGTTTTTCTCTCAAAATGCCGGAGACCACGATTTATGGCCGTCTAACGATAGGCTTGATATGAGAAAATGAGGTAACAAATAATAAACATTCAAAACCTAGGATGTACCCTCCGGTAAACTAGCATAGCTATAGAAAATTGCCCATTTATAGTTGATTTATTGAAGATTTTGATTTTCCATAGCTATGTCAGTTTACCAGAGGGTAGTGGGGATCTCTACATTGAGACAACCCCACTGAGAGATAGTCTGGTAGTTTGGGTCAAAACCTATGAATTACGGAGGGATGAATGTGGGTGAACCGACCAGAATTATGACACTCCAAATACCCTCTGGTAAACTGTCCCATAACTATGGAAAATCACAATTTTTAATGGGAAAATCCACTATTTCTATAGCCATTTTCAATAGCTATGTTAAATTACCAGAGGGTAGATAGTCACATCAAAATACGTGAAGCCCAGTAACAAACCATCCCAGACGTATCACTCTAGATGGTTTGTAAAAATAATCCCCACATGGGAGGTCCATTCTTATTGGATTTGCTACATTTATATCTCAATGGATATTCCCATGACCCTCCGCCAAAAACATAGACCCTCATCCAATGAACAATAAGTGCTTAGTAAACTGAGAAAGTCCTCGATTCGTGCAGGATGGGCCCCCCAGTGATGTGAATGTTGGTTTATAAACCATTATAACCCCCATGACAACTAGTTCGTTATATCTACCATATACCATATATCTACCATACACCCTATATATACCATATACCATATAGTTATATCTACCCCCATTAACTATAGTAGTTATATCTACAGCCAGTCCTCTCTTTTCTGAACACACTATCGCTCGACTGGGGGCCCCTTATTCCGAGGGGACAAGCCAGTACATCCAAGCCACTGGCCGTCCAGGTATCTCCATGTTTATGCTGCAGCCAGGGAAAGTAGAAGCCCAAGCCATGCCTACAAAATCCACCAATTTCGGGTCGGATAGTGACAGTTTTCTCCCGGTGTTTGGCTTAGAAAATGGCAAAGATCAAGCAAGGTGGCGTTATAATCAATGTGTAAAATCCCTATGAAACTATGGTTTCTGGGGGAGTGTCTAATATTCTTTGGGGTGTCGGGATGAATATCATTGGATTGTATAAATTCAGGGACAATGCTCAACTAGAAACCATAGTTTTTTTAACCATCAAATTGCTTGGGGGTTCCTGTGATTTTTTCCCTGACCGATCTCAATGATAGTATTGTTTTTAAGAAAATGAAAACATGAAAGTCAATTTGGATCATCATCTATGGAAAATTAAAATAGTAAACCACCACAGTTGGATGATTTTCGCCCATCCAAGTGTAGAAATATATCCATCATAATTGCAAAGAGTTTAATCAAGTAGGAGGAATCACTCTGATTCTTGGCTGGGGTTATAATCCAAGTATCATGTGGGAAACCCAATTACAAACAATCAAATGATAAAAACCCATATGGCCCAAAAATCATAAACCACATAATTGTGTGTAATCATATAGCCATGTGATTGTTTGTAATATACTATATATATAACATATGATATATAAACCAATATGGCCCAAAAAAAACGATAAAAACACGGTTGCACATGTTTCAAAGCCATCCCCTAATTGTAGCTTCATGGCATTGGGTTGACATTTGTGATCCATCAGTTAACCATAAATCATCAACTGGTTGTACCCCCGCGATTGACCTGGTGGCATTGGCTTTACCTATGGGATAAGTACAACATCACTATATCTGCTGGCATTTTGATTCCAGGATCAGCGAAATTCCATGAACAGTCGGCACGAAGCGCTCTCATCATCGAGAAATTACCGCTGCACTTTTATTCATTAGAAATCTTGACTAATATTCACCAAAATTACCTCGCATTGCAAACATATTCAGTGAAAAGTGCTGAATTATGGACACTCATGTTGGCATTATCAATAAAAATAATGCCTTGCTACAAAATGCTGAAACAGGCTGCAGCACTCCATTTCCTGACACCACTTTTTAGCTACACACGGGCATGGCATCACCCACTTTCCAGTGGAAGTTGAACGGGGATCAAAAAAAAACACATCCTCAACTTAACAAATAAATGGTATAAACCCTCTGAAAATGGAGGTGTTTTTTGGATTTACCACTTTTTCCATTTCTTGAAACGATAAACCACCGACTTTCCTGGGCGACTAAAAAATCTGCTGTGCCTTCCCAGATCCCAAGATCGGCGCCCAGCTACTCACCGTTATCCGCCACCGCCGAAAATCTGGGAGCCACTTCAGCACACCAGCAATGCACAGGACTCACTGGGTCATGACCTCAACTGGAGCGATCCCTTGGACGAGGTCCCACATTCGGACATGGGGTATACGCCCAAACTTAGTTGTTTAAATGGGAACATGATGATAAACCAATGGATTTAGAGGTATCTTATTTTCGAACCAAGCCATGTGATGAGAGATATGGTGGGGAGGTTTAATGGAATATCATTAAGAATATACTGGAATATAATGGATATGTATTTGGTGCCGAAATAAAATTGAATATAGTTAGTGGGATTTCACGGGAAATATGCTGGGAGATACTGTGGATGGTTGCAAAATCCTGCACCAGTTGGGATGTCTATTGGGATTCCTATGAAACACTGGGACTATAATGGAAGTACAACTGGATGCTTACCATCTACCAACTGGTGCAGGATTTCGCAACCATCCACAGTATGATGGGGATGTTTAATGGAATACAAGTAAGGATATAATATCATGGAATATCATGGAAATATCAGTGGGATTTGAGGGATTTTTACTTCAACCAGCAAAAATAACGCGGGTTTTTTTTACTATGCCATCCTATGACATGACTGGTTGATACTAATCTATGTATCTCTATTACGGACATAGTAATAAAGCTAGTACCCATGACGGATCCATGGTGCTGCTATATATGGTAACATGGATCCCATCAATATACCCCAGTCATGTTAGCATATATACCAGCACCATGGATCCTATGGGGTATAGCCCTCTATAATATTCTATCAACAGTGGTATTTTGTTCATGGCTCACAAACTCATTCGACTTGCAAGCTGCAGTCAGCAGCATCGGCTAAGTGGGGCAGTTCAAACTGCCATCATCAGGAGTTGTTCCAACAGAAGTGGGAGTTCGGTTTCAAACTTGTTACCGTCTGGTAAACTAACATAACTATGGAAAATCACAATTGTTCATTGGAAAACTCACTATAAATGGTGATTTTCCATAGCTATGTTAGTTTATCAGAGGGTACTTGTGCCACTAGAAGGAAGTCACTAAGTGAGTTCCCATCAGTACCATCTACCCTTATGGTTGTACTGTAAGAAGTATTACCACTTAACATAGCCATGGAAAGATCCACCATTTTTCATAGCTAAACCATCTATTTTCAGCCATCTATACCATGGCTATGTAACAAATAACCAGAGGGTACTATCCACTAACAATTTGGTGCCATGGGTTAGCACATGGCACGATGAGTTGGTCTGGTTGTGACCCCAGTAACCAAGAGGGGAAGATCTACAGGATGGGGCCCCCGTTCGTCGAGCGAGCTCGCGTTCAGAAACGCCTGAAAAAAGTGTAGAATTCTATGGTTAATATGTTAGAGATATAACGAACTAGTTCATGGGGGTGATTTTATTGTTTATAAACCAACATTCACATCACTGGAAGGCCGCATGCTGTAGGATCAACAGCAGTTCAATTGAGTCATGGAGGTTTCCGTTGAGTCATTGGGCTACTCCCATCACTTGGGAAAGCGACTCATGGATTTTATCCATCATTGATGGACAGTAAACTGTGACAGCCATCAAACTGCATCTACATCTACGCTTTGGCAATTTCACATAGCTATGGAAGCTCCTGAAAATGGTCTATCGGTGATTTGCCAACAATGAGCATGTTGGATTTTCCAGTTCGCTATGTTCAATTGCAGCTATGGCCATAAATATTAGTTATCACTGGTGATTTCTATGGGATTATACATTCCAGAAATGGAGTTGTAAGTACTTATCTGGTTGGTGGTGTCAACCCCTTTGAAAAATATGAGTTCGTCAGTTGGGATTATTCTTCCCAATATATGGAAAAATAATCCAAATGTTCCAAACCACCAACCAGTTATAAGTCGTAAAGGGACATGTGACGGATAGGGTATACCATAAGTCATCCCAGCTGGCGAAGAAAATCGAGTGACAACAGGTGCCATTGATGCGTCGTCGCAGTAAATTCCCGCGATCATCAATGGCCAGGGCCCAGCCTGGAAACCAACCGAAATATCTGTTGATGTTTGACAAATGATGTGCCATGGGCACGTTATATAAGATATATAATGGATGATGGACATACAACGGATATACATACATACATATATATATATATATACTGGATATATCATGGATATACAAGGGATATACAAGGGAAAAAAATGGGGAAATGGGGAAACTAGGACAGGACAGGTTGGCGGTTAGGTGGGAGGCTGTAACGTTTTTGTTCAATCTTGTAATCTGAAATGTTTGACTGTTTTTTTTTGAATATCTTGCTAAATGTTTTGTTGAGGTTGTTGTAATAATGTTTGGTTTCAATGAGGGTAGGTTTTGTTGAGGGTGTTTTGCTTGTTATGATTTTAGGATATTTTAGGTTTATGTTCAGTGTTTGTTCCTTATCTTTGATGTTTTATGTGGTGAGGGTTTTGGGACTATTTTGCCCCTAATTTTCACTGTTGATGTTTGGATTGAATGGGGGTAGGATTTGTTTAGACTGTTGTGGTTTTTGTTTGTGTTTGGGCAGGTGATTACTTCATATTATATTTTGTTAAGATATTATGAATTAATCATTTATGCTTTCCACTTTCCTATTCCATCCCACCAGTGTTCAATTACTCTCATTTGTGATAAGCAAGGTTTGTTTGTATCATTCAGTTCATCCATCGCTATTGACAAAAGAGTTAGGTTGATAATCATAGCGTTGAATTCACCATCACGGTTGAGTTCCTTTCCACAATCAATGATGATTTTTTTATCAGTTAAGTTTTCATACATCTTTTTCATAATGTCAAATCTTACGAACGAATATATTATCATTCCATTTACTCCTTCATTATCTTTCATCCTATCAATTACTTTCTTCCACAACTTGTCTCCTTCCTCATCATCTGGTGAAGGCATAGGATGACATCTTACCAAGTCTCTAATCTCTTCATCTTCTTTTTCTATTTCTTTTCTTTCCCAATCATCATCCTCACTATCACTACCAAAGTCAGCATATATTCCAATGTTCCCTGTATCTATAACCTCAATTTTTGCGCTACTCATTTTCTCTTATTATATATAAGTGTTTCCCCACCTGCCAGATGAGGGTTGTTAAATTTTATGTCAGTTGCCTGCTCCTCTCCTCCTCTCCTCTCCTCCTCCTCCTGCTCAACCGCGACCCTCGACGCACAGTGTTCTCTGTCGGACCTCAACCACGACCATCCACGCCCAGTGTTCCCTGCCGGACCTCAACCACGACCATCCCCGCCCAGTGTTCCCTGCCGGACCTCAACCACGACCATCCACGCCCAGTGTTCCCTGCCGGACCTCAACCGCGAGTATCCCCGCCCAGTGTTCCCTGCCGGACCTCAACCACGACCATCCACGCCCAGTGTTCCCTGCCGGACCTCAACCGCGAGTATCCACGCCAAGTGTTCCCTGCCGGACCTCATGTAGGAAGATATGGGACAAAGAATGTGCAGAAGAAAGTTAGAAAGAATGTCAGACAAGTATGTTATATATTACTTGCAAACTCGCGCGTGTGTGGTAGAGTGACCGGGGCAATGCCACTTCTTACTTTGCAGGTGGCAAAGTTTGAAGCAATCAGTTTGAACAGATGACAGAGTCACTGGGGTGGACAGAGACATTTCCACTTCTGTACCTTTGGAGCTGTTTGCAAAGACGCTTGAGACAGGCAACATCTTACAGCAAGTTACTACAAATTACTTAGAAATGTCATGGTGGGGATCACTCGAAGCAAAGTATTTTTTCTTTAAGTATTTATCACTTTTTGTAGGTGCTCTTTTATTTCTTCTGTGTTCAAATATTTCTCATAACCATTGAACAGTTTTTCGGTGTATTCACGCAAGAAAATTTCCAAAATGTCTTTTATCTTGAACTCCCTGTTTCTAAACATAAAAGTTCGTTCAACATTAGGAAACCACCAGCATCTTCGTTGCTTACTGTGATTGATGAAATTAAGGTCGTGAAAGTTCTTTAGAATATGATAAGTGTATTTCCAATGGTTTTTGACATAAGACTTAATCGCTTGAAGATATATCTTATCTGTTTGAAATTCTACCTTCAGTTTATAGGTGTCCATTAAAGCATCTATTTCTCTCTTCATTACTCTTACATTTGTTCGGTCGGTGTTGGATAAATAGATAGGTGATTTCTCTATCCTTGTTTTAAAGAAATGTATTTCTTTTTCAACTCTTGTTAGTCCTTTCTCTTCAAAATGGTCAAAATGATAGTTGAATGTTATATATCTGCGTTCCTTATCATTCAACTCTTTACATTTAGAACAGTGAAGGTTGTAACTGCATATCTCATCACAAATTCCAGCAGGAAAAATGTTGTTCAATAAAACCTTAATGTCAGTCATTTCTTTCTTACAACATCCACAGTTTTTATAAGTAAATAGCATCCTCTTACTATATATAGTCATTTTTTCTTTAAGTAGTTTTTGGGGGCTCGTTCAGTTTTCGGGTTCGGGTTGGTTTTTATTTTCCCTTTCCTCCTCTTCCAGTTCTCTTATGACCATATCTATTTCACTCATTCCTTCGTTGGGGTCTTGTCCATTGGCGAGGTTTCTTAACCTCTCAAAATCCTTCACTTTGTATCTTTCATTGGGTGGGAGGGTTTTGAGATGTTCCTTCAACTCTGTCAGGTCACAGTATGTGTCTTCCTCTTCATCCTCATTTTCCAAAAACATTTCCATTCGTTGCTTTTCCATCTCCATAAGTTTGTTTTCCATATATTGGAATTTCATTTGCTCCTTGTAGCACTTGCCACAAACATTCACGAAGGTTTTGAGCAAGTAGTTCCAATTGGGTTGGTTTCTACCATTCAGGGTTATAACATTTGTCATTATACGACATCCACAGTCAAATTTAGTCATCTTACTTATTCTGATCATATATAGGTAGATTTTCTTTAAGTATATTTTTTATTGCTGATAATTTTAAAAATCTAATATTATAATATATGGCAAGGAGGCTATCAAGAGATGACATCATAAGCAATGTCTATTACAATCTTGAAACGGGCTTCGGTTCAATCAATGAGACCCTTAAGAAAGCCAAGGAACATTTTTTAAAGGGATATATGGGAAATGTCATGGGAATCCCATGGAATTTTCTACAGCGACCACCTGATAGACGGTGACCCAATCATCGATGATTGAGATTTGCCCTGATAAACGTGATTGTTGCTTGATAATAAGCCATTATAAAACCAACAATGGGATAGGTCTACTGGATATAACGCATGCATTGTACAACTGAAGGATTTTTCTTTAATGGGACTACTACAACTGGATAATTGATGGTTATTGTTGTTGGTTAATGAGAATATTTTGGATATGACTGACTGTGGGGATATAATTGATATAATAGGGATTGTACAACCAACCACAGCTGGGGATTTACAACCAACAACAACTGAGATAAGTAGGGTTGATATCCAAATAATCATGGACATTGGTTATATAACCAACAATAAATGGGATTATAATGGGGACATGATGGGGAATATGTGTCGGGAATGTAACGAATGGACTTATATAACTCCTTATAAGGATTCACAAACAACAATCTGGAGTATAATCAATGGCCATTCCAGGATCCTAAATTGGAGGTACCTACCATATATAAGGCCTATAAGGCCTATGTAAGGGAATATCCCCACAAAATATGGCCTTATATGGTACAGTACCTCCATTTTAGGATCCTGGAATTCCCATTGATATAACCAACAACAAGTGGCGATTTCATTGGAAGTCTACAACTGGGATTTAACCAAGAAGGGCAAAGGGAATATGATGCTGGTACAATATGAATATGACGAATGGATACACGGTGGGGCCCCCCAGTAATAAGATGGTTTATAAACCCCATTAACTATAGTTATAGGTACCATAAACCATAATTTTTGGAGTTATAAACCAACTTAGCTATCTTGGGGGCCCCACTTTGTATGAATGGGATAAATTAGCACCCATGCAGTGACACGCCAAACAAGTACAAGTAGTCTGTAGAATATGTATGTCATGTATATTTACTTGTCGACACCTACCAATAATAGTTCCCAGTTGCAAGTAGGAAAGACGCAACTGGGATGCAAGTTGGAAGCAAGATGTCCTCTGGTAATTTAACATAGCTATAGAAAATTGCCCATTTATAGTTGATTTATTAAAGATGGTGATTTTCCATAGCTATGTCAGTTTACCAGAGGGTAATGGGGATCTCACCATGTTTCAAGGCGAATCATCTATAAAGGGGTCTGAATTACCATAGCGCCAGAGGCTAAATGACAGTGAAAAATTCCCATGTTTCTTGCTTAAATCCCTATCAATCACCATTCAATCCAATGAAACTCGCTGTGAGTATTGTGTGTGGTTACTTGCCAAAAATTGATGGAATTTCAACCGTCCCCAACCAAAAGTCTCTTATTATTCTGATCGGACTTACCACCTCAATTTGGCAACCTGCTTTTGTCCAAACAAAAGGTCTACCAGTCTACCAATCAAAAAATATGCAAGTTTCCCAAGAATGAGAAACATTAACCACTTGCTATTAACCGTTCTTAATCATGAAATTAACCCATATCAATGTATCAATCATTCTTAACCACTATGAACCATGACATAGTATTACCCTCTGGTAATTTCTTCCAGTTTGCTATTGAAAATGGCCCAGTCGAAATAGTTGATGAATCCCCATTGATAGCATGGTGGTGATTTTCCACTCTGCCAACGGTTCCAATTGGGATCCGGGGATCCAAAAACCCACTGTTTTCCGGCCTAAGTCTGCCTTCAAATCTTTCAGCAGAGATCCGTCAGGCTTGGGCCAGAATGGCAAGCCATTATCGTCCTAGGCGAAACGGCGAAACGGAACTTGGGACGGAGCAGATCTTAGCTGCTGAAGTAGGCACAGAAAATTCATCGAAGTAGGTCACGAAGCCGAGTTTACAACACAATTGATGTGCTACCGAAGTAGATATAGCCATATCTATCGCCATATCTAAAATTATCTAAACTCCAAAATTTATGTAAATCTCAAAATTCTCAATCCACATCTCTGCACTTTCCATATCTTTAAGCGTTGCGAAAACGTCGGGCACGTTGCGCAGTCACGCCGGGCAGCTCGTTCCGTCCAGAGCCCCGTTGAGCTTTGGTAATCCCCCGGTGCTCTCCGCCAAAGGCGATCCGCCTTGTCCTGAAGTCAAATTCACCGAAGGATTCAGCGGTGGATCATACGATCTATAGCGAAGATCATATGGATATATAGTGGAGATATATGGTGGATATATCTAGTGGATATATCTAGTGGATATGTGTAGTGGATATGTGTAGTGGATATATATGGTGGATATATATGGTGGATATGTATATATATATATATTTAGAGAATATTGTATATATATATAGTGGATATGTGTATATGTTGATATTGTTTTAATAACTCGGATATTTTTTGGTTGTGATCATCAAACCATCATGAATGGGATTCCTTGCAATAAATGTATTGTTCAATCTGGTTGGTTGTCCCGTATATCCTTTAGCTATACCTACTAGTTGTATCCCCTATTAAAACATCCATCCATATTCCCATCAAAATATTGGAAATATAATGAATAGGAACGATTAATAAGGACTAGGATTATGTTTGCCTATTCCAGGCACTCATATTATAAATAGGATTGACCTCAAAAAAAGAAAAAACATGGGTGGTCAAAAACCCGTGATTTTGACGTCCTAATATGTTCCTATTTTTTCCCTATTGGTGTTCCTAGTTGTTTCCTATTTGTTCGGTTTTTTTCCTAATGTTCTCGAGGTTTTTGCAAATGTTCAATTTTCCAGACAATTTAGCCAAATTTCGGAATTCATTTTCGGCCACCTCCATTTTTTCCTATTTTCGTTCCTAATTTTCTGGAAATGTCCAAAATTACAAAAACCTCGAGAAAATGAGGAAAAAATAGGAAACGGATAGGAATTCATTGCATTTGGCAACTGGAAACGTAAAAAAATTGGAAAGACCTCGAGAAAATTAGGAGAATATGTTTGAGGTCAATCCTAGTGTGTTCCTATGTTAAAAATTCTTCTGTAAACTTCCAGTTGCTGTGCCTGAAAAATGAAAAAACTTGAGACTTGGTTCACCAACCTTCCTGCAGATATTTAATGGCACATGGATGTGGACATAAAAAAACAATGGGTATTTTCACAGAGATCGTTACGGGGTGCCAATGGAAATATCAAGGGGATATGTATGGATTTTTAAGGATGTTTTCAGGTTTTTCAAGAATCATGGTCAGTTCATGTCACTTAACGGAAATTTATAGGATAACTTGAAGGATAACAGAATTAAAACGCAACTGATAAAAAATAATTTGATGGTTGAAAGCCGACAGTGGCTAATCGCAACAGTGCTAGGCCGCGGGTATTACGGGTTGCAGTTCCAGTGAACTAAGTGGATATATGCTGACCATAGTTGAACGAATTATAATGGGATATATGGGATTACAAGGAAAATATAACAATAATGTGCTTATGATGGAACTTAATGTGGGATATGATGGGGATATAATCGGGATATGATGGGGATATGCAGGAGAACAACGATACCCATTATAACAAGACCATGTTAATTGATACAATGGAAATATAATGATATGTATTTGTATATATATATATATAATCGGATAGAACTCATGTTCCTTTCCAACTTAGTTGGATGATAGTGGGAATATAGTGGATCTGATGGGTCAAAACCTTGGTATCGCGGTGAGCCCCAAATATTAAACGAATTGGATGATAATTCATATGCGGATGATAATCATATTTGAAAAAATGAAAATAAGAGTTAATGGTTAACCATAATAATAACAATTAACCATAATAACAAGTTCAGTTGCCTTACAAGTGGTTGAATTCTATGGTTTATGACGGTTTATGGTAGATATAACTATAGTTAATGGTGGTTATTTCATAGTTTATAAACCAACAAACGTAACTGGGGGGCCCCATCCTGTGGTACTT